GCCCAGACGGGATCCACATCACCACTTGCATTCCCCACAGCGTGAGCAAGGTGAGGTACGTACCTGGGTAGGTACTGCAGCGGTACATGACCTCGTGGCTGCAACCAAGAGCGATTCTCCCGCGCCCCCGGCACACCTCGTCACCATCCACTTGGGCACTGGATGGCTGGATGGGAGCGGCAACACCATGACCACCACCATCGCCAGCAACAACAACGACTACGAATTGGACGAACAACGGCTATGGGCAAGCTTCCAGAGCGAATGGTGTCAGGCGTAAGGTCCGCTGCAGGAAACCCTCGACATGACGAGCTATCAATCTTGTCGACCGCCGCGTGTTTGTCTCGTTTCAAACACCGCGGAACTTCACCCATGCATTTCTCGCGGTCCGCCTCTTTTCTCCTTTTTTCTTATTGGTTTCTTTTGGGTTCCTGACAGAGTACTGACCCCTAACCTCTAGACCGCTCTTGCCTCCCTTTGCAGCCCGCCAGGAAACCAATCTCACCGAAATTTGCGCGGCGTCTAATGGAAGTCAATCACTTCAAAGTTGGTTGTTCAATGCCAATCCAACCAGCTCCGCTGTCGCCTCCATCCGGTGATGTCAGTGACTCAGGAACAACACAACATGATGCGTCTCGAGGCGGAAGCTCTCTGCACTGCATCCACAGGCTCGACAACGGGCCAACGGACCAGGGAGTCAACTGACAGCAAGCGAGAATGGATCCATTGGATCCTCATGAGGTCCGCTCAGCTGCAGCGCCGGAAGCCAAAGGGAAGGAAAGCCCAGGTACGGATACACATCATACACCTGCAATGGCAAATACAACCTACACCCGTCCGTCCGTCGTTCCGTTCGACAGGAGACGACCCTGACGACGTGAATTGCTTCTGCGCGCTTCCCCTCACCTTACCTTGCTTAACCTCGCCATCACTTTACCTTTAAGGTACGGACAGTACGGATACAACGCCTCGCATTCCGCCCATGCGCCGAACCCGAGCCGGGACCACCTTAATGGAATCTCAGAGCCAGACTGCGACCAAAGTCGATCCCGCGAATTCGTGCTTTCCGTCCATCCTCCGCCGCATTGAACCGTTCTCCCGGCGGCAGCAACAGCGATGGTCCTCGACTCGAAAGATTAGCATTTTGCCGGCTATGAGTCGAGCGAATGCGTGCGAGGCATGCGCATGGCGTGGGTGGTGGCATTCTTGTAACCCAGAACTCGTACACTAGAGCGGCCTACACCGAATGGGGCTCGTCAGGCACGCTCGCCGACACCAGCGACAACTCGCGCCGTGTGGGACGACGGCGCACACTACGTACCGGTCAGTAACTTAGTCAACGTTACGCGCGACATAATCCCATCGGTCACCGGCTACACGCCGCAATAGGTGAAGTCGAGTTGAGTTGAGCCAAGAAACACAAGAGGGCCGAAGATGTGAGGTCAGCCACGCCAGCGACACCACCTCGCCGTCAGTCATCCGTACGCACTGCCATGCTTTCAGGGCATCAGAAGAGAATCAGACCTTTACACAAGAACCTGAATCGCCCATCTGCAGTTCACCTCCGACTAGTCCATCTTCTATATACGTTTCGTTATATGGCTTTCACCAAGGCGCTCCGGCTATCGAATGCCCTACGGACGACCCGTCTGGCGGGATACTCCCCCGGTATCAAAGCCAGCAATCTTTGTCAATCATCAAACGAGCGACATTTGCCTCCGTTCAAGGCCCGGCAGGGTGGGCACTAGCCGCTCCTGGCCCAGTGCACCCACCAACCACGGTCGCAGCTTGGAACCTATGTATCCGCAGAGTAGGGACAGGCAGACATCTGCAGTCGAGGTACGCCCTGAATACTCAGCCCAAGGAGGAGGGTAGCACAATGTACCAAAGCACCAGGACAAGACAGGAGACCATCTCTCACCTGAGGATAGTGCTGTAGAGTAGCACGGCAGTGGATCGGCCTCGTCCCTACGAATACAAGTGGGGGGCTGTCGACTGTCGATAGTGCGAAGATTCCAAACAACCAACGAGGAAGAGAAGAAGGCCATCTTGAACATCATCACCAATCAATGCGTCCAAACCAGGCATGCCGAGTGGTCTCTGTCGTCGCATCTAATCTGTGTCGGCTGCCAGCGGAAGCACGTATATCCGTGTACATGCAGAAACAGTTGCTGTGCGTACAGACGTTTGCCAATTGGCAAAGGTCGGCGAGGGGCCGAGAGACAGAGGGATGGAGGGAACATGTAACAATGTTACAGTTGAGACGGCGAGAGCCACGTTCGGGTGGCAGATCCGCTAGCTACGGTCGACCTGGGACTGGGCTGGGCCGGACAAAGCGGTTTTGGCCCCGAGTGCCCCCAATTCAGATTCCATTAAGGTTCGCGGCCGTGTGTCAAGTTTGGACGGATAGCCCGTCGTTCAAACATTTTGAGGCAAAGAAGCAACAAGAGAGAGAATGGTGCGCTGCAGTATAGCATTGCAGAGCGCTGGACAAGACCCGAGAAGGTTGAATTCCTCAGTGTTGACGGAAGCCCGTCTTGCCAAAGTCGGCGTGCGGTTGCACTATGTTTCTGTCCCCACACGAGACCAGAAACATACATGATTGATATTGGATTGAGGTACCAATCCATGGAAACAGCGAGACAAAGGCAGACACGACGGCGGGTTGTTTTGCCACGCCATGTCTGCCGCCGTTTCCGTTGCCGTTGAGGAGGAGAAGCGAGTGCTCTTCCGGACTGTTCCTTTCCCTTTGAAATCTTATCATAAATGAGGGCGTGATGAGGGAGTCCGGGAAAGACGAATAACAGCAGGGGGCAGGGAAGAAGTCTTGGGCTTCCATAAGGTGGGAACAGACGACCCGGCGCAACGACATATCCAATCAGTCCAGGGGACCGGTCTTTTGGCAGGCTTTGGGAAGGGAACAGCTGAGGCCGAAAATACGGAAATCCAAATAGCACCTACCGTGCAGCTCAGCTCGTGTATTTTTTTGACACGACGAGGCCTGGATGTGGCATTAGGGTCTCTCGACTTTGCTATGGACTGGACGCAATTGCTGGAGGCGCATGTTTTACAGTTTCTTCTTCATCTAATACGGTTTCTTCACGTCTTTCCTGACATGCTGTCAGGTGGGGACCCCGTGACTCCAGTTGGGGATGGAGAGAGGCTCAGATGGATGCCATGCCACACTGCGCCCGCCGTACTCAAAGTAGCGGGAGAAAGGCCAAAAATTAACCATACCTTCAGGTAAGGTACGGACGGACATACGGCATGGAAAGAGGGATCACGGCGGCCGCTGTCGGGAGCAGTGCCCAATTTGCCTTGGCGGACGTTTTGACGCATGTTTACCTAGCCATTCATTGTCGGTCGCCCACACTGTTCAGTCATTGGTAGGCGGTCATAGTGTGGTCTTGCGGTCACGATTCTCCAGTCCCTTCCCAATCCCAATACCAGCCCCGTCCAGTGTCTGGTGTGCTTCAACCATGATACGTCCTGTCCATGTGGCATGGGCATGGCAGCATGAGTGCGTGACTGGTTCTGAGTGATCCAACTCACCATCTCCGCTTCACTTCATCAGTCAGCAGCCCTGAGGCGCCCCAGGATGTCCCATCGTGTTCCGTCAAGGCCTCACACTCTACCTCATCTTTTGCCTCGACTACCTTAGTTACTTCAGTACTTGTAACTCATCCTCTCTGGGCTGGTCGGGAGTTATTATTGTCAGCGTTCTGGGCGGCAGGCTTTTTAGTTGGGGTCAAGGGTTCGGGGGGTTTTCTCGTAGATGGAAGACACTTGGGTGCCTTATGTAAGCCGCAACTTTGTATCCCGGGTGGTTTTCTGAGTGTGAGATACCTCAGGCCCACCCCCTTGTCTTGGGCGACCCCGGCCACCCCTGTCGTTCCCGCCAAAAGGGTCAGAGGTACGGGAGGTACAAGCACCAGGCGACCAGCAAAAGTGACCAGACCCCGACCGCGACCGGCTACTCAGCCAGTCACAGACGCTGGTTGCCCATGAGATCGCACCCAGGGTGGGTCCCCTCTTCCTCATTCTGCCCCCCTCGTCGCTGTTGCTGGGAACTCAGCCGATGAACTTAGCAAAGTACATGCCAAGTACCACTTATTGGCCAGGCGCGGCAGCCTGTCTCGCATGGGGAAAAGGTACATGAGATCTACCTGGTTCACCGTAGGGTCTCTACCACTGAACCATTTCTCCAGCGGGCTTCAGTGCACATTACAGCGGCATCATCATTCCATCCGCCATGATTCTCATGTACCGCATCAAGTATCTACGCTAATTAGTGCCGATGGGTGCCCTGCTGCGTCTGGAGGTGGTCCTGCTGCGGTCCGGCGTGCTCTGGGCTGCTGGTCACTCAGTGGAGGTGAGGTACCTCTCTGTCTCTGTCTCCCGCCAAATCCCACCCATCATCCATGGCCCATCCACTTTGGCTGGGGGCCGAACCTGGGCTGGGCTGACTGGCTGTGCTTCCTATCCCATCCGTACCGTACCGTACCATACTGTAAGGATGGATACTCTCTCCTCCTGTTCCTGACCTCCTCGACTGCTTCTCTCACCTTCACTCTTTCTCCTCACCACTCTCCCACCTTTGGGGCAAACCATTCACTGTTGTGTTTTTCTGGATTGAGCAAGATTGGTTCTTGTATTTGTTCAGACGAGATCTGATTCACCGGCACAAGCGGGCTTTTCTCTTCCCTTTCCTGCTTGCGACCGAGCACCACCCTATTTCCACTGGCCATGGCTGTGTGACGTCCTGCCTACCCGCTCCATATCCGCCTGCGAGAATAATACACGCAACCTTGCGAGATTACCACGACCAACTTCCACCACCGCCGACTCACTTCTCCGATCGACCTTTCTCCCTTAGAACCTCCGATTCGACAAATCCTCTCGTCGTTTTCCCTGCTGCTCCTTTGGTCATTCGAACCAGAGCATGCTAGGTGCAACCGCCCTTCAACAGAACCGATTCGCGTGACCTCTCGAGATCCACGATGCCTTCCATCAGGGTCCCGGATACCGGCCTCATTCTTGAGAGCTCGGCCGCCTCGGGGAACCCCGTTCCTCCCCAGGCCTTCACCATTAACCTCTCCGATCACGTCCTCGAGGACCTGATCAAGTGCGTCCAGAGTGGTGAGGACCTCCAATTGTCCCTCGGGAGCAGCCCGGTAAGTAGCATCCAGTATTTTTGTCCGCCATTCCGAGAACCCCGACCACAATCCCATTGTCTCACCGACGGGAAGAGCCACCACCTGGTGCTGCCTGCATGCATGACAAACGCTGCATCGCTACCGCTCGAAGACATCGGCGGGAACGGAACGCTCAACATTGCCAAATGCATGCGGTGCCTTGCCTGCGGATCATATGTGCTGACGAGACTTGCCCACAAAGACGTTGCTCTACGGCTCCAGCTCCCACACCCTTTCTCCGACCTCCGACTCCTTCCCCTCCGACCTCTTCCTCACGAAACCCTTCGAATCCACGAAACGAGCCACACGATTACCAGAACCGACATCACTATGGAAGAAGTTGCCCGGCTCCGACGCCCCCAAGAAGGCCGAGCGGGCCAAGGCCGCTCCCAAGGGTGCCCCTTCGACTTCGTCGTCAGGCATGGACTCAGATACGGAAAATCTGCAGAACTCCATCAACGCGGCGAAGGCACAGAAGAAGCAGTATGTGGACGGTGATCGGGTCATGGTGTACATGGCACAACTAACAGGGGCAACAGATCGCAAGTCATGGACAGGCCACTACCGACGAAGAAGACCACAGGGAAGACTGCAAAGTCAAAGCTGCTGTCGAGCATGGCATCATACGGCAACGGCGGCGGCAAGTCTTCGCCTGCTTCACCTGCTCTGGTAGCCGTCAGCTCGCCCTCGACGAATCCGGTCTTCTCCTCTTCGCAGCAAGTCGTCGAGAAGTTCAAGGAGCAACGATCCATGATTGTCCACGAACTTGCTGTACAAGACCGACCGGAGGACTACCTGTCAGATCTGTGGGAAGGCAAGGACGACGAGTTCAAGCCCGCCCTGGAGAAGGTCGCCCAATTTGAGAAGGATACTCAGAAGTGGGCGCTGAGAAAGAATTACTGGAGAGAGCTGGACGTGTGGAAGTACGACTATGATACCCAAGATACCCGACAAAAAGCGATCGACAACGCGATCCGTCAGTTCGACAAGATGCGATTGGCAACTACGGAGCCCGAGTGGCAGAAGCTCCTCCCCAGGGAGGAGCGAGGAAAGGGCAAAATCCTCAGCAAGCTGCAAGCAAACATCGCCAAAGCTTCCGCTGCACCTCCACCAAAAATCAAGGTGCAGGAACCTGCCGACGACGAGGAAGACGTTCTCAAGATGAAGGGTGGCGAGACCATGTCACGATCATCTTCGAACCCCCTGCCGGCGAAGCCCAAGAAGGCCGCCGACACCACGGCGAAGCGGCTGCTGTCTACGAACCCGAAGAAGGCTGCCCCGGCGAAGGCCGCCGCGAGCAAGAGCAAAGAGAAGGCACCTGCACCTGGCAAAAATGGACGGGTTCTTTCTGCGGAGTTTATCACCAATTCAGACTCCGACTCAGAATCCTCGGAAGACAAGCCAATGGCAACAATCGCGGCTGCCAAGCCCAGACCTGCACCCGTCGCCGCACCTCCGCCTAAGAAGAAGCCTGAGCATTCCTTGCCTCCTAAGCCGAAGATTGCAGTGCCCAAGCCGAAGCCCAAGCCTGTGGAGAGAACCGTGGAGAGACCCGTTGAGCGACCGGTGGAAAAGTCAATTGAGCGGCCTAGGGAGAGGCCAGTCGAGCGAGAGGCGATCAAGACAGTCAAGTCGCAGCCGCCTAAGCGACACCGGGAGGAGGAGGCGGATGACAGCAGCTCCAGCTCTGGTGCACCCCTTGCGAAACGGGCGAAGCCAAAGGCGCCGATCAAGGCACCCGTGAACCTTAAGCAGCGCCCCGCGGACGGCGCATATGCTTCGCCCCGCAACTCATCTGGGGTCTCCTTCAAGAGCAAGAATACATCGCCGGCCAAGTCTTCGCCTCTGGCTTCGTCACCACCTACGAATGCTTCAGATCTCGAACAGTCAGCACCCAAGAAACGCAAGGCTATCGAATCTTCCGACTCTTCAATCGACAGCGCCCGGACCAAGACGGCCCCCAAGCGTCAACGCATGCTTAGCCCCGATCTGGTCAGCAAGGCCGCGCGTTTCAAGATGTTCTACGAAAAGTACGAGGCTCTGCACTGGGAGATTGCAGACATGTCACACCCGCCCGAGGAGAAGATGGCCGATCTGCTCGACATGCGCGAACGACTCAAACTCATGAAGACGGAGATTTACAAGGAGTGCCCGCCCCCAATTGCGGTTGCTTAGAAGGCGACCGAGAGAGGACAGGGAAGACTGCTCAGGAGCAACGCGTCGACGAGACCAGCGAAGAAAGGCCAGGCGAAAAGACGATCTTGATTTTGGGGTGTTTGATTTTTTTCTCCTGGTTCACAAGCGATAATTCTCAGGGATATCTCGCCAGATCCTGGATAGGACGGCTATACGAGACCAGCATCAGCAACAGCGAATGATTCTTCCTTTTCTTTCTCTTTTCATATTTCGGACTGGATGGATTTGCATCAGGGTCAGGCGGCATCGGCGACCAGCATATAGGATTGCATGGACAAAAAAACCCCGAGCTGGAATCCCGTGGACGCGGGCCAGAATCTCGACATCGTCTCTTGAGAATTGGAGAGGTTTACTTGATTTCCCTCTTATTTTCATTTTCTTTGATACCATGAGGTAGTCTAGTTACCCACAAAACGAACAAACAAACAAGAATTGAAACAAAGATTTCTCAAACACAAACACTCTTTGTCGTCTCCCATGTGAGAGGCCCATGTTATGCAACGGCGTCTAAGGTACCTTGAGGGGAAAGGGTGGCTCTTGCCGCAAACAAAGCGTTGTCGCCATTACTCCCCACCCCTTGTGCCAACATACCAAACGTCATTCCTGGGCTCTGCAGCAAAAAGAATGCAAACAGCCGTGCGCTGCAGCTCGGCTTCCTTTACCAACCAAAACTGCATGTTAGCTACTCATTTTGCATTCAGGAGCCGCCGCCGCCGGGTCCTCCTCTGCATAACCGCATAAATCAGACGCAAAACGGGCGAAGGAAGGTCAGTCAGTCACCCGGCCAGAGCAAAACGTATCCGTATAGAAACCTCCAATTCGCTTCTTGATGAACCCCCCCTTTTGGGATGTACCAAGGTAGAGAGAGAAGAGTATCCGTACAATTGTGTAATTTCCCGGTTGGGGGGTTTTGCAAAGAGTTTCAAGGTTTACGGTATTTCTCCGGGGGGGGGGGGGGGGGGCGGGGGGCGGGGGGGGGGGTTTTTTAAATTTTTTAAATGTTTTAGGTTTTTCTCCGTCCCCCCCCCCCCCCCCCCCCTCTGACGTCGATCAATTCAGGTCTTTCTTCTCCACAACAGGTTCAACAGGGAAAAAAGAAAAGAAGAGACGATTTTGGCCCACCAGAGCTCCCCGCAATAAAGAGAGCCATGTTTTTCTGCTTTGGCTTATTAATGTTTTCGGTGTCTGTATTTCGTCCTTGAATAGTACTCTTTATTATTACCGGTATCGTGAGATGGACTCTTCTTCTTGAATCTTCGATTTGGGTGGAATCCGGCCTGCCTGCCTGCTCAGGGTCTATCTGGTGTACGTGTGTTTTCTCTGCTTCCTTCTTACCTCTTTCGGCTGCCCCCCGTTCGTATTTGCCAAATCCCATCTTACGGTTGTCTCTCTGCCTCCATACATCGGCAAAACCTCATAACCTTGCGAGAGGAGGATGTCGTAATACGGGCGGCGGCACAGCGCATAAACAAAAGAGAAGACGCAGCTGTGCGTTGCGCTGCGGCCAGCCCGCGCCGCGCCGCGAAGCTTACTTAGTGCCCGTCCCGCGGACACCCGCGCGCGGAGCTTGAGCTCCTCCACTGCCGCGCCCCCTCTGCGGTGGCGATGGTCGTCTTCTTTTTTTTTTGCCTCTTTTGATCAAACCACGTTTGTGTACAGCAATGATTATGCTTGCTATCCGAGGGCTGATTGTAAAACTTAAAAGGGGGATGGGGATTGGGTGGTTTGGTATTTCTGCGTTGTCGATTAAGAACGAATGATACGGGAAAGCCGAAATACATGACATGGGGACGGTAATGAAGGAGAGGGAGGGGGGTTTCCCGCCCGCTCTTCCCGTCCGCCCGCTTCGCCGGGCCCGTTGCGGATTCCGTAGGCGTGGTTCCGTTTCCTTTAATGACAAGCTTTTTTTGGCCTTCCGGGATGACGGCATCCGCGGAGTAACCCTGTCTTTGCTGCCGGTGGTCTTTTGGAATAGCCCGTCGATGAGATGTTTCGTTGAAGGTTTTCGTGAGGAGGAGAACTCTGAAAGGGCAGGCAGATGGTGATGGCTTTCCTGGGGACGATGTTTGCTTTGATTGCGTGGTATTTCGGAGACGCGCTCGCTCTCTTTCCACAGGAATCTGGCGACCTCTCGATAGTTGTTGGCTGTGCTCACTTTGATGCGGACAAGTGCTTGCAGAGAGCTGTGCATAAATGCAGCTTTACCAGAGCAGACAAGCGGTGACATTTGATGCTTCGTGGGCTTTGATTGCATCGCGCCCGCCTTTGTCTTGAATGCCTGGAGGCAGCATCGTCCAGAATTGATCCCGCAGATTCTCAAATATAGACGTCTCGCCACGATGTCGATGCTCAGTTGATGTCACCGCAGCTTTCTCCTGGGCATACCGCACCTCGAAATTATTCATTCTCGTGTGGTAACAATACCTCCCGTACTCAGTCAGAAGCAAGCCAGAACCACCTCAGACCATCTACCAAGCGCAATGCCGCCGTACTCCTACAGACCGCCCCCCTCGGGACGACAGTACTATCCTTACGAGGCGCCGCCTCCGCCCCCGAACTCCGCCTTTCACTACAACGACTGGCACACGGCCTTGCCCCTGCCGAACGACTTTTACGTCCATGCCTGCATGACGTCTCCTGCCGCCGGCTTCTACAGCGGAAGATCGCCCGGACGCTCGCCATCCCCGGACGAGGAACCGACGACCTCACAGCCGGCCCGGGAGGAACCCAAGCGGTCGGGCAAAGGCAAGGGCGCCGCCCAGGGCACCGAGGGCGTCCGCAAGGAGGGAGGGGCCAGCAAGGGCGAAGACAAGAGCACCGGCAAGGAGATCGTCAAAGCCACTCCACTCCGCGCCGACGCCAAGACCGCTCAGCGCCGCGAGCAGTGGCTGGTTGAGATCCGGCTCCTGATCTCGCAGATCCGAGTCCAGCTCAGCACGGCTTACTTCGTCCATAAAGAGTCTTTGGACGCTTTTAATCAACACATCACCGAGGAGCTGAAGGAGTTCGCGGACGACCAGACGCTGATCAAGCTGTGGGTCGACAAGTTGCGGTCGACCGCCAAAAAGTACGATGGCAAGAGGGCCCGGGAGAAGCCGGCGAATTTCGATACCGTGACAGCGCAGGTCCGCCTCTGCCTGAAGCATCTCAAGAGTGCGAGCGAGAAGAAGGTGCCTGCCGTCCCTGGCTCCGAGGCCAAGGACGTTGTCATCGACAGCCAGACCCGAGTCGTCGTCATGGCCGTCGAAGAAGCGTTGAGCTGGGCCGAGACCGCCGGTTCTAGTCACCATGCTTGCGAGGAGGCTGTGGAGCACCTCGACAGGGCATACAATTTCACGGATACTGACGGGAACTTGTGGAGGGCGCTGCTGGACATTCCTGCGGCATCGCATTCCACTTCGACGGGCGACACACACAGCTGAGTTGGCAGGTGAAGGGTGCTGTCACGATACGAATGGCGCTGAACGAAGAGTGCCGGGCGGAATGAGTCGGGCGGATGTTGGTGGCAGGGTCGCGATATGGTCATAAGAGTCTGTGAAGTGTGACGTGAGACGAGGGCATGTTGGTCGTTAGTAGTATTCTTGGAACTCTGGGGGACGTGAGAATAGACATCTGCTTACCTGGGAAGAAAAAAAGATGAAGCACCGTCCTCAACAGAATGATCGGAATTGAATTGTCAAGTCCCCCGACCAGCCGAAGCCAGCCGGGAATCCAGACGCTGCGTATCGCACTCAAGTGCTGTGCACAATCTTCGCAACGGCTCTCCCAAAGGGTCACCGAGTCCGGATCCTCGTCTTCCCCCCGAGAGGGTATACACGAGGGCGGCTGCGGGCCCTGCTTTTCTGATGCCAATTGCAAGCGTGAAGTCACGCCAGGCCCTCGCGGGCAGACCCGTCATCCCGCCAAGGGCAGGAGACATTGGGTGTTTGTGAAGATGTTACTCCGAATTTCTCATATGCCATTCTGAAGCGGGCGTGAACCCGCTTCGAGAGGCCGCGCTTGCGCGCAAAACCTCTCCGTTCGTAGCATAGAAACGCAGCGTTGAAGAGGACGGTGCTTGAGGGGAAAAAGAGGACGAAGTTGAGAGGCCGCAGAAATTGCAGCCTATTTATACCTCAGCAGTTTGTGACGTGGGGTCGGGCGGTCAGTGACTCCACTACAGCCTTGCATGTGAGGCCAACCAATCAAAAATCAGGGCACGCGCGAAGCTTGTGAAGGAAAGACCCTTCAAGTCGGGTCCCCACCTGCCAGATCTGGACCCCACGTTTTGTGGATCCATGGCGCCCGTGCGATAACGATAAGGAGGTCCCTGTCGGCGTTAAGCGTTGGTCTCAGTGTTTTTGGCGATGGGGGCCTTGAGTAGCGGAAAGTCCAGACCGCTGCCGAAATTTTTTAGGAGTTGTAAGCGTGCTCTCCTCCCAAATTTCAAAATTCAACGACTTTTCTTTGTTCGACAACTACGTGTTTCTCCCAACCCGCGGCCCCTTTTTTCCTCGAAGAAATAACCTTTACGATAGACAACCTCACATAGAACTCTTAATCAACAGCAACCATGTCACTCGAACCGAAAGATTTCCCTCAAATGTGGCAAAAGCCGTCAAGTGAAGACTTACTCAACACGCTGAAGCAACTAGAACTCAGCCCGCCAGTATGGAGCCACAAGACCAAGCGATCGGTCATCACCAACGAGCTGGAGTCCACGGTTTACTTTCGCCGCGAGGTCTCGATGTACCTCTCCTCCATCATCAAGAGCGGTCTTTCGTGGATTGAGGACGAGGATGAGCAGGAGGCGGTTTGGTCGGAGGCCAGCAAACGGCTTACGGAGCGCTGTGGGCGTACAGGTACGTCAGGAATGGGCGGGAGGTTTCGTGCTGTTGGTACAGCGTCTTACGAGGAGTAGCCATGGGCGAGATCACCCGGCGATGGCCCTTGAGAGAAGACGCCCTTTCGCCGACGTTTGAGCTCATCATCCGCGAACCGCCCCTGACCGGCGACTCACTTGGTCTCAAAACCTGGGGCTCGTCATATGTTCTGGCGCAGCACTTGCCCAGTCTCGGCCCCACGTCGCTCTTCCGGCTCTTCGATGAGTCACTCGGCCAGCCTCGCCCGTCTGTGTTGGAGCTGGGATCCGGCACAGGGCTTCTTGGTCTGGCGGCGGCTGCCTTGTGGAAGGTCCACGTCATTCTTAGCGACTTGCCTGAGATTATGGACAACTTGAGACACAATGTTGAGGCTAACCGGGCCACGGTGGAGAAGCTCGGCGGATCGCTGGACGCGGGGGCGTTGACTTGGGGAGGTTCAGGAGAAGATGAGGTCGACCAAGACTTCTTCGACAAGAACCATCAGTTCAAGGTAAGTGATTCAGTGGCACCCCTTTCGCAGTGACTATTCGACTGACAGTCTGTAGGTGGTCCTGGCCGCCGACCCAATGTACGATGATAACCACCCTGGCCTCTTGGTTGGCGCATTCCACGAGCAGCTCTCCCTGGAAGAGGACGCCCGCGCTGTCGTAATGGTCCCATTGAGAGACGAGACGACGAAGAAGCTATTGAAGACGTTCAGAGAAGTAATGAGCCAACAAGGTCGCCCGCTTACCTGCATCGAGGAAGGAACTCTTGACGGTCGTGACGACTGGGGCGAGGCCGAGGAGGGAAGCCCGGTGAGCTGCTGGTGGGGAGTTTTCGCCCGCAAACCGCAGGAATGAGGCATGGAGTTTGCTGAAAGCGAGCGAGCGAGCGAGCGAGCGATTTGATTGCATAGACGTTTAGAAACAGAAACAAAGACGTGGGCATCACGGGGGTAGAAATAGATCTAGACGACACGATAGATAGGTAGACAAAGCGACCTCGGGCAAAGATAAGGAGTCGGATGAAATTTGAACACTCGAAATCAGCCTCAACGTCTCAACATGTGCTCTTTTTTGGCATAATCTCGTCAATGTTTTTACTGCGCCTTCCTTCCTCCGCCAACTGAATCACAACACATTGCCCGCCGCGCCTTCTTCACGATATCTTCGTCAGTCGACAGCCCACTCAAACCCAGCTTGCTACAAACATACAAGCTCAACTCCCTACCTACGTTCAACACTTCATCAGTAAGCCAAAATATACTTCACCGAAATACCGCAGCATCTTTCACAATTCCTAATACAAACACTCATAACTATTTCCTCCCCAGCATGGTCGGCCAGATTACTTACACCGAGGACCAGATCCTCTTCGTCCTGCGGCTCACCCTCGACAAGGTCAAGGGCGCCGTCATCCTGACGGAATACGAGAAGCGCTTCAACAAGACCCTTACGGCCTCGCAGCTTCGGTATGTCAAGAGCAAGTACGGCCACGACCCCGAGTTCGGGTAAGTGCGATTCTTGCGCGATAGGTTCCGAGTCATTGCTTCAGCCTGCAACTGTTTTGTATTATTTTTCTTTCCGCCTTGCCAAAGAATGAGCGAATGCGCGCTGACTTCTTGCTTCACAGGACAGCATTGATCAACGGAACACTCCCGAGCAATGGCGGAAACAGAAAGACCGCACCATCGACACCCCGACGGTAAGCCATTCCCATAGGAACATTCGCAAAGCATAGTTACTGATCCGTCGACCCAGGAGTACGGTCATCTCTCGGCCAGTGCAAGATTTCAACCAACCCGCTATTCAAACAGCCGCGAATGCGTATTCACTCGCGCCCCTCGCGTCAGCGAGCCATCACCAACTCGACGCCCATCTTCCGTCACCGTCCACCACATTCTCCAGACATCCCCAACAAAACACCCAACAACAGTCACCACCCCAGCCCAGCAACCATTCACATCCGGGCCTGACACTGGCACTGCCCGGCATGCCGGCAGCGGTCACCGAGATGCCGGCGTGGGACCCGGACAATCCCTACGGCGTACAGCCCGTCTTACAGCAGTACAACCGCGAGCTGCGAAGCAAACCGACCAAGCGCAGTCATTCCGACTTTGAAGACGCCGTCAAGGAGGAACAAGGCCCAGAGGACACCGAGACTATCGATCCCAAACGCTTGAAGCTCGAATCGCCCATGATCGTGCCCAAGTTCGAAGACCGAGACGACGAAGCGGTCTTCCTCCTGCAAACTGATACCCCAGACGCGCCCTCGCCGCTCGAAATCTATCAGGGGCCCGAGGCCGATAAGCTCATCGACGAACTTCTCGACCAGATCGATGCGGAGATGAGGGGGCAGGAACCTACAATGCCGTCGATTTCAACGACGCTTACGCAACCAGCACCGCCAACGGTAGCATTGACAGCTGCAGTGCCTCCCATGGCTCTAAGACAAGCCACGCCGTATCTCCAGGCACCGCAGATGGACTTCTACAGCCCCTACAACTACGACTACGGCCTTGCAAACTACGGAATGGAGACCGCGATGTACTTCTCCAACCCGGCTTCGGACGCCTCGAACCCGAGCTTGATCTTCTCGGAGACGGACACGAACCCCGCCTGGAGCCCGTACTTGGACAACGTCGTCGACAACAGTCACTGGGGAAACACTCCCAACCTCTCGACGTACGCGCTTCCAAACCTAGTTGACCTCGATACGGTCGTGGACCCGACGTTGGCTTCGTATATGGACCCCGCGCTCCTGAGTGGCTTGAGCAGCGGAGGCGATATCACGACGGAATCCCACAATCAAATGGGAAACGTTACGGATTTTGGGATAACTTCACCAGTAGAGAATCAGTCAGGAGGTCAAAGCAATGCCGAAGCCTTCATGGGCTTCGACTGGGATCAGATGCTAAACTTTGACGGCAATGCCGGTTCATTCAACGACGAGTTTCAACAGTACCCGCCTCTTGAGTAGAGCTCACACGGTCGAGGTTGGAGTGTTGGTACATGTAAAGTAAGTAAGGGCATTTCAGGGAGTTTGCAACGGGTTCAGCGTCGTGCTTTTGGATTTCACAGCGAAGAGAGAAAGAGAAACACACAAGTAGGTGGGAATTGGGGTTAGTCATTGCGACATAAGCTATATATATATAGAGTTCCTCTCCAGATGATACCATGGCATCTATCGTGACGCATGAAACGAATGATGAACCGTTCCCTTCGGCTTTGCCTCCCTCAAACAACATAAATCAAGCTACGATTTTGAAAAACAATTGGGCGAGATTTCCTCCCAGCGCCGAATTCCATCCACATGAAGGGGGGGTATCTAAGTTGCAGCAGAAACGAACAGACGGGGACCGCTTTCCTCCCAACCCAAAAACGCGTTACTGCAAGTCTCTTTCTCCCAGCCAAAATGTTTGTGTGTGTGCAATGAGCCCGCCGTGTATGGTAAGTGTTGTGAAAATTTTCATGTAAATCATCAGGGGAAGGGAAAATAACCGCAGTGGTGAGACCAGCCGGAAAGTAGACGATCAGATAGCGATGCTTATTGTTTTCCTCGATTCTCCTTCCTCCGTGGGGAAACTGAACACGAGCCTATAGAGGTCTCGCAAGAAGACGTATTGGCTGGCGCGACCGGCCATGTAAGTGACGCTCTTGGCCATGTCGTTCGCCGCTATCCGCTTTCCCCGCGCCGGAAGCAGAGACGACCCGCGGAACGACGCGTCGGCCTGCACGAGGTTCTTGTAATTCTGCAGCAGGGTCGCATGGGTCGGGAGAGATCCGAAAGATCCCGGGGGCATCTGCTTCACAAAGGCCTGCAGGGCGGCCTTTTCGGCTTTGCTGTCGAGGGCGGGGTCTCTTGTATATCCGACGTTCATGGCTGCCTTGATGACGAGAGCTTTGATGCGGCTGGTGTTGCTTTCGTCGCCTGCGGTCGTGGTCGTCGCTGTGCTTGATGTCTTGTTGCTGCTTTGCGAGTAGCTGGACAGCTGGGAGGCGGTGCTTGACCATCGGCCTCCGCGACCGCTGTCGGATGTGGTGCCTAGGACGAGGATGTTGGGAACCCGAGGTGACTGGCTTTCTGGGGAGATGGGAGTGTCCTCGAATTCCGTCACTGGGGTCTCGGGGACTGGGGGAGGCTTCCGTGGGCGCTCGTCAGTGACGCTCTTATGGCTCTCCCGCTTAGAGTAAGATGAGCGATTGGACGCCCTGCTCTCGCGACCTGAGGGCTGGTCGAAGTTTTGCTGGTTGTTAAAGAAACTCGTATGACTTGGTCGTGGCGTGTTCCGGTCTGGTCGGACTTGAGTCCACCCATCTCTGAAGAGATCGCACAACTCCCAGCAAGCCTGGACTGCTGAGCCTAGGAGCTCTTCATCAGGAGCCCTGCCATCTCGCTTGTTTTGCCTCAAACTGAACAGCATCTCTGCGAGCGACCAGCACGCCTTCAACAAAGAGTCGGTCTCTTCAGCCAATTCACTGCGCTGTTTCATTAATCGATGACAAAGAGTGATGTAAAAGTCCAACGTCCGCTCTCGAAATTGTTCCGGAAGATTGCGGATATCCTGCGCGCTATAAAGACTGGCATAAAGTCAGCGTCAAGTAGATGGCGTTTCCCGCTTCATCTGAACTCACTGGTTGTTCAGCTCAAAGCTGACGCGCAGAATGGAGTCGGCAACTTCATCTTTCTTCTGGCGCACGTCGAAAAGTGATTGGCAGAAATCGCGACACAAGTCAAGGTTCTCTCGCACATTATGTCCGTACAAGTCTTCGTCTTGGTTGTCGTACAGTCGTTGACAGAGCTTCCAGCAGGCCATCCATGCTTTTTCGTGTGCGTCAGGGGTGCCTGAGCTGTTGAAGACCCTCATTCGGTGTATCGAGCTCAAGTTGGCCAAGGTATTACACAGAGTCCAACACTCCTGAAGGGCGCTTCGCAGCGCTCTCACCTCAGGATCCTCAAGCGGTAGGGAAGGAGTGGCATAGTCGTCATCGTATGCTTCGGCATCAGTTTCCTCTCCTCTCCTTTCGTCGATTTCTGCCCAGGTTAGAAAAGAACAGATCAACATACAGAAGCGCCTTACTTTCGAGACTGCTAGTACTGCTGGAGCGAAGTCTGGAAGACTCGCTGAGCATATCTTGTAAATCTTGTGCGCGTGGAGTGGCACTGTCCACGCTGTAACGAACAGGTCTCACGTCTGTGGAGAGAGGTGGCGGAGTAGGTAGTCCTGGGGACCTCGACTGTTCCATTCATGTAAGCTTGTGGCGTTTTCGAGGAGTCGGGGTCAGCCTACCTTGGCCGCATGCTCTGTCACTGGTGGGAGGCTGATGGTATCGGTCTTGGGTGAAGATTTGGGTTCAGATGCCGCGGACTTCGCAGATTTGGGTGATGACTTTGCTTCGGACTTCGGAGATGATTGATCGCTGGCTTGGTCTGGTTTCACAGTTGGGTCGTTGGAAACCTGCTTCAACATTAGCTACTGATGCGCTTTCGGCATATCAAAGGGCTTTACCCAGCTGTGGAAGCTTTCTGGAGCGTGGATGACCGAGACGGCTTCTTCGCTGCCACTTTGACGCACGTGTTCGGGAATGTTGGTAGTAAGCATCATGAGCTGCTTCATGTCAGTATTACGGACCAACATTCGTCAATTCAAGGTTGCGCACCTGAGGGTGAGGGAATGGATTTGCTGATGTAGGGCGGGCTCGAGCTTCATCCGCCTCCTCGTCTTCAATCTCTGTCGTCTCTGTTCCGGTTGAGGTCACAGGTGATGGACCGACAATATCGCTAGGACTCATGAGGTGCATGTTGTTCGATGGCACTCTCTGTATGGAATTCGGCCGAAGGGAATTGGAATTTGAATGTTCTGAAGTAGCCGATGACCTTGAATTGGACGTAAGTGTCTGTCTTGAATAACAGCAAGAGGTTTGGCTTACATGTTGGAGAATGGTGTCTGGAATGAGCCGTTGTCGGGAGAGGATACGGACATTTCGTGATGATGCGAGTAGGCAGATATTTGACTTCCAATGGACGATCGTAGGGGCGCTTCGAGTGCCATGATCAGCACCGAACTGCCTATGATGACGACAATATCTCAGCTGGTCGACGACGCAAAGAACAGTTGACCAGCAAGCGGTTGGTCGGCGGCTGTGAGTTCAAAAAACTGCCTTGAGAATCCCACGCAATGCGCTTATAGGCCGACTCGACCAAGTCGCAGACCACGCGGGCTGCTGGCCTCGATCCTGGGAGCCGTGGAGGCTTAGGGTCAAGCTGCGCTGGAGGGTCGGGTCTCGTTCACGATGGCCTGGAGATCACCACACCAAGCTTCGAGACGAACAGGAGCAGGCTGGAGAGTGAGGAAGCTCGAGAGAGCGAGGGTGGGGAGGGCGGTTTAAGAGGAGCTGTGCCTATTGCAACCTCAATGCTAGGTTGAGGAAAGGCAGGGACCGGGGGCTCCAGGCCGACCCTGGCTCACGCGAAATATCGACAGGGCCAGGTTGGTTTCGCAGCGTCGCGGCGGGTCTGCGCTTGCTGGTCGAACGACAAGGGGGAACGGAAGACCCAAGCAGCAGGTCTGACGAGTGAAGGATAAAGAAATATGGAGAAAAAAGGTTGGATCGGCCTGCGGGCAACGCGACTGCCGCTTCGACGCTGGATAGAACAGAATGAGAGGACGATGGAGTGCGGAATCAGGCTGAGCTGCGCGTTACTGCGATAATGCTGCAATGCAGATGTAGGAGGGGCGGTTGGGAGAAGCTGCGGCTAAGATTCGACGAAGCGGATGAGAAGTGCAGCTCCACCGATTGCCTGGCCGTCCACTCGGTCTCGCGCAGCCGGGCACGGAGGAGAAATGACAGGAACCAGACGCAGAAAGTACTTCGAAGACAGCGAGACAGAGCGGATGACGGCCAACGTGATTGTCAGGTCTCGGTTGCACTGACACCCCACGACACTTGGTCTGGTGGTACAGGCGAGAGAAGATGGCGATACTTGGATGGAACCGCAAGAACGTGAGAATGTGAGGTCGCAGAGAAGAGGCAGATAGGTGTTCTGTACTCCGTCACTGAGTCGTTGGTAAGGTACCCGAGAGGCCGTGATACGGATATGGAGTGCTGCGTTGCAATAGGGTCGAGACAGATGTTGGAGTTCTCTGTGTTGTGTGAATGGCTAGGCTGGTTGAATTCTGTTCCGCTCTATGGATAGGTACTTTACATGGAGAGAGGGACCGAAGACGATGGTGCGAGTGCAGGTTTTGCTTTGCTGGCCGAATCAAACGTGGATATGCCGACAGGACGGAGTTGAAAAGGGTGCAAGCATCTCAGTTAGCCCAGCTTGAGGACTGAGGTGTGTAAAAAAAGACGAGAGCTGCCCCAGGACGTGACCCAATCTGCGAGCTGGGAGGGAGGGTATTCTCTCTGTCTTGAGCAGGAGACATTCATCTTGGGCGGTAGAAACAGCAGCAGAGGGGCGAACGAGACGAACTCGGCTTGGCCTGGTCAGGTAGGGCAGGCATCTGCAGGCATGTTCAGAGCAAGATTGAGCCAGTCAGATGTGCAGCTGCGCGTCTGTTCCCACGGGCAAAGCAGACATCTCCTGGCAGGTTGGACCAGTCAGGAGCAAGTACAGCGTTGTGTCGGTGGATGAGAAGAGCATCGTCGAGATGTGGGCTGCATGAAGCAGACAGGCGTCGGCGCTTAGCAGAGGTGGGCGTCGCATCATTCAGCGAACCACAACCACCCCTGGCCCTGCGAACGCCCCACATCGGTCCGGAGGGGCCTTTAAGCTTGAAGGGAACACCTGTGAAGGGAAGGGAAGCTTGTCGAAATATTGAAATATTGAAAGGAAAAAAAAATTGAAAGCAAAGATAGAGGTAAGGTAGCTTACCTCTGGTCCTCGGAAGGGATGGGAAAGATACGGCTACCTATGCGAACTCCAATAATGTCTCTCAAGCTACCAGTGTAGAACGTGTGGCCCATGTGTCTGAGGTTGACCATGCCCGTAAAATAGTATTGTGCCGTGATACCTATCTAGGCTACTAGGTACCTAGTCTCTCGAATGACATTGGACGTATTAGGTCAATGTACGGATATCAGGCTGTAGAGTCGTGGTCATAATAATATTCAATCGTCAGCTCACGTTTGCTGGATGTAAGACAACTTCGCAGCACCTTTCCTTACAATGTCTTGCCTACCTAATTGCCCATGCTATGACTATGAGTGTGTCCAGAGCGAGACGAGGCCGAGCCGGTACACTGGTCCGATGGTATCCAATGTCTGCGCGTCTGTATTGGGACTTTTGTCCCCTTTCTGATTGTGTAGAGTGTATGTATGCTCGCGCAGCAAGTGTGGATGGACGGATATCTCTCACAAGCTTCTTTGCACCGTCTCTTGTCCCCCATCCAGACACCGCGGCGAGCCAATCCCCTCATGCCGTGTCATGAGAGACGCGAGCACTCAGTCACGCTCCCCAAACGTGCCTGTGTATTGCATTTGGGGGCGGTGACACGCATGCGTGTTCGTGAACGGCTCTGCCCGTCCATCGTGTCTTTTGCCTGTCTCGGTGTCTGTTTGCCGCCCTGGCAAGACTGTCTGGGTGTTGTTGGTACCAAGTGCAGCAACTACAGTAAACCTCATTTGTCGACTCCCAGCGCAACGGAACCAAGGATGGTCTCGACCACTTTACTCGACAAGGATACGTTTATGGTGGCCCGAACTGGCCGATCAACAAATAAACAAAGCCTTACACGATGTTGCTATCGTCCGGGCCAATGTTGTTGGCTCTGCTTGCTTCGCGAGAGTACGGATATGCCTGATTAGGCCTCGAGATGTCAGGCCTAGCGCAACCCGAACTCTTGGTAGGATGTCAGGGAAGATGGGCTATGCGTGGAGGTTGGTAACGGCGTGACCATCACTTGAAAGCTGGAACTCATGCCGTCATCTATGAGCCGTCACAGTCGGTTCGTTGGGAAAGGCCATGGCCAAGTGTCTTTCTGTACTGTGATAGCAGTTTAGCATGTACAGGCGACGGGAGGAATGGAAGTGTGAGGGTGTGTACGTACCCCTCCCTCTCCGGCCACCCCAAATCTCCGCCGCTCCTTTCTATTCATGGTGACCGGATTCCGACGATTTGGGCCGGTGTTGTTTTTGTCTTGACCGTCTTCCAGAAGAAAAGCGGGAAGGAGACCCCTCCCACTGATCGCCATTCTGCCCAGGGCACTGACACGCCGAGTCTGACAGGCCACACTGGCCTACCGTTTGTGCTGGGAAGCAGGCACGGTCCCAGTAACGGCTTTGAACCCTACTGGTACGGCAGGTACGTAGCCCCCAGGTCTTTCCTCACCGGTTCTTGATGTTGATGTTGTTGGTTTCTCCTTCCCGTCACTTGACCTTGACCGTTCGTTTCTGGAGTTGCTCTAAAACACAAATTTTCTTTTCTCTCCCATGGATACCCGATTCGCGACAGTCGAACACAAGGTATAATGGGCTCATTTGGTCTCTGAGCCATGCGTCCCAGCTCGACTGACCTCCAAAGAGAACTTTACAAGATCAAACTGCCAACCCGGTAATTATCATCAGCTTCAACTCGAATTTCCCTCGGTTCTCGGTCCTTTCGGACTGTCCTCGGGGTTGGATGGGAACAAGTCAGTTCCTTGTTGGCAAATTCGAACCTCGGTCCCAGAAAACCGGAAATATGGAAACCAGTCTCGGTTCAGTTGTTGGTGTTTCTTGAAATATCCGCAACCCTGGAACTCCACGGTCCAACGTCAATGTCCCGCAGCCACCACCATCACCTGATTGCGTCCACGACTGGGTTTCCCGATTCCTGGGACGCCGCTCCTTTCCAATAATGCTGGCTGTTGACTTCGAATCCATTCTCTTCTCGTTGAACGCAGTCGTCATCCTTGAAGATTCCGTCCCGACCTTTCACTTAGTGTGGTGATTACCCTGGATTTCATGTCGGTGCCTCTCACTAATCACAGCGCTAGCAAAACTTCTGGTAAAGCCAGCTGGTTCGACCCCGGCGATGTGGCGGGGTGCCAGCTCCAGGACCCAGGAATCCGTCCCCGGGGCACCAGTTGCTGATCGCCGATGGAGGGGCAGGCCGGGTTGCGCTTCACACCATCTGATGCCATCCACTCCGGTTCATGAAGGATTTGCTTCGATGTCTATATCACCGATAACTGTTGGGGTTCGGTCCTTCAACATTGTGTAATGGCGGAAGAAGCCTTGTCTCGAGGCAGGCCCTTTTTCTCGTCTTCTCCATGGAGGTCAACCCCGACCCGGACGCCGACCTCCTCGACTGGTCGGGGGCTCCGCTTGGTATCCCTGACGCCACGACCGCATCACGCATGCAGGCCATGCAACGCGCATAGGCGCCAACAAGCTGTTTCTATGAATGGGCTCCGGCACGGTCTTCTTAATCGGGACAACGCCTCCATCTTGTGCAACAGATAGGAAGCCGAGCTGCTCTGAATTATGGGTACCATATGCCACTTGCAGTAGCTGTTGCGCGCCAGTTGAATCCTACCGCGGTTACGCTGCGTGTCGTGGTTCTGCGGGAGTGCCAAGTCAAGTCGTTGGCAATGTCCAAAATACCCACAATGCGTTCGCCAGACGGACGTAGCTCCAGACTCTGCACGCCGTGCATCAACTCAAGACGTGTTGGCGTCCCCTGACAAATAAACAATGGCAGCAAAATGAGAACTGGGCTCTTGCATCGCGGGTGGTGTCCGCTTCGGGAATGTTTGTTGGTGCTCTCAGTCCTCGTCGCGGCAAAAGCGCCGCGCCATTTCCAGTCTCTCGGGTCATCGAGTCGGCCACCGGGCTCATCCTACGACTTGCGCAGCATTCAAGCCAATGCCTTGCCGATCCATACCTTCAAAGACATGTCGGGTACGTGGAGTTGACCAGCGTGGACAATGTCACCAACAACGAAGCACACTGGACAAACAGAGAGTGGTTCAGACAGACACCAAGCACCAGCCAGCAAAGCCTTTGTCGTTTTTCTGACCCGAAGACAAGCCCCTCGGTCTCAAGCGTTCTGCCGACATCGTCCAATCAAAGCCATGATATGATGATTTGGCCCCCGAGCAAAGCTGGTAGGTAGGACAAGAACGTCAAGTGAGGCTCTTCTGGCCGAGTCAACGATTGTCTCATTCATCTCAAATGGGGTACAATATGGCATGTTGGTGGTCAGCGACTAGCAGCCGGTCAGGAAGGCATTGAGGTTGCTCTCGATGTCCTAGTCAGCTTTTCCTTGAACTTGACCGCCAGATCGAAAGACAACCTCCCTGTCAAATTGGAGTACCAACAGTTTGACTAGCGCACTGCAACTGCAGTGGGCGTGGCATTGCTGCAGGTGGCCCTGTCGATTAATACGCGTGGTATATCCGCATACACCATCAAGCAGCGTCTCACAGTCTCAAATGCTGCGGTTGATGGAGCAGGTACGCAGGCCTCAGCAAATATGGCTGGGTAAACGGACCGGGACTTCTTCATTCAGTAGGACCCGACATGCGTTCTAATCACATGATGAGCGGCGTGCGAACCGGCATGATGGCTTTCATCATCTCCGGACCTGTACTGCCAGTTCTCCCAGCCACCGCCAACCGTCCAACTCTTTTCCTCCGAATCCTATGCCTGGTCTGGCTCTTCGTTGTCGTTCGGGAATAACCACGACACTTCCCACGATTGCCTTGTAATTTGTTGATTTCGCCGCGAGGAAGCGGGTTTTCGAGGTGCGGACGGATTCGGTGTTGCGCATCGGTCGGGTGGGCTAAAGGCACGATTGCCGCCGTTTGCTTATCGTAGATCTATTGTTGACCTAGCCGTCTCGTCTTGCGTGCCCAATATCTCCCAATAACGCCATGCAATGCTCTCTAAATTCGAAAACTCCAATAGTTCTGTCATCCGACCATTACGGGTTCAGAGACATCTTCTTTTCGTTGCGGCCGTCCGGAGTGTACCTAAATCCAGTGTAAGAACTCTCGAGCGTCAGGATGGTTCGAGTGTTGGATGCGCGTACTTGAGAAGCTTCTCGATGAGGTCGACGTGGGTCATGACCATACGGCGGCAGCAGTAGCGCTTGAGTCCAAGCTGGTCCATGGCGTCGCTGTTTTCGTGCCTGTCAGCGATGCTGTTGCTCGCGCCTTTGACCGCAGTCGGAGACTTACCCATCCATAATGCCGTCATCAATGAGCTTGAGGTAGCGCTCCCAGAGGTCGCCGGTGACCTATGGAGAAGTCAGCTATCGAGTCTTTCGCATCGAACGGGGGGCGCTTTGACTAACCTTTCCGCAGGAGAAGCAGCGAACGGGGATAATCATCTTGGCGGTGTTGTATCTGCGCGAATGCAAATGATTATTGGCAAGATGGTTTGGCAGCCAGCTAGTCGGCAACTGAAGTTCGGCTCGCGCAGTGGATCGTCAATCGTGGATTATCGCCGTCGTCAAAGAAACTTTTTTCGATCGTCGCGTCGCCGGCTCAGCGCGAGTTCCATAGGTACTGACAGGACTGCCTGCGGAGAGAAAATTTGTCGGACCGGTGATTCTCCGATCCTTATCTTATCAGTGTTGACTGTGGGGAGATCCACCAATCGCATGGCCCAGCGACAGGAGCGGGACCCAAAATTTCTTTGGGAACTTGAACTTTTTTTCCTGGAAGGGTCGTGTGCGAGCGAAGCAGCAGGAAATCCAAGCCAACTCGTCGAAGGTCTGACGACCAAACTTTTCTCGCTCATTCTTGCTCCAGACCCCCAGAAACGACACTCGTTTGTGTATATTCGACCTGTACACCACGAAATGGCCGGCCCTTCAAACCCGAAAGCTCGGGATGCCGATACCAAGAAGCGCAAGAGAGACCCCAGCGACAAGGACGGCCAGACGAAGCGCCTTCGGCAGAAAGGGAGCAAACCTGCGAAGAACGGCGAGGAAGACGCGGGAGACCTTCGCGAAAATGCCTTGAACGTGCTTTCTCAGCTCCAGAAGAACCTCACGGACGACCAGATCGAGACCGAGCTCGTCAACCTGGGCAACTCGGACGTCCAAGCGACTGGATGGCAGGTTTCCTCGCCAATGGGTGGCCGGATGGCTGATATCGACCCAATCTTTGCTGAGAAGGAAAAGTAAGGGCGTCTGCGTCGTGGAGCTGTCGACTTGTCTAACGTTCACCCAGGTACCTGATTGTTACTTACAACACCTCTCTGCAAATCTACTCGGTGGCCGAATCCCTCCTCATTCGAAGAATCTCCCTCCCAGTGGTTCAGAACACATACGCCGACAGGGCTTCGTCGCCGACGATCGTTGCGACATGCCTTTCGCAAACCAACACCGATTTTGTCTGGGTCGCCTGCTCCGACGGCAGAATCTGGCGGGTCAACTGGAAGAGGGGGACCAAGGTCAGCGAAGAGTTCCACACCAGGTCGGAGACTGCGCTCGACATGACAGTCGCAACGATTGAGGGGCAAAAGAGCAACACGGAGGTCGTCTATGTGTCCGAGACGTCGAAGCAGAACAAGGGCGAGATCGTCGCGTACTCTGGTCCCGACTTCACGCAGCCAGCCTCTGAAGTCCTCTTCACGACGAAGCAGCTCAACCGGGAGATTCACCTGCTGCGCGCGAGCACGGACGGAAAGATCATTGTCGGCGCTACGAAGGAAGGTCTCATTGTCGGAACGGTCAAGTCCGAGGCGTCCAACACAAACCTCGGCCTCGAATCCGAATTCTTCACATTCGACTCCACGGACATCATCTGCTCCCTCGACATCAGAGTCACGAACAAGAAAGACAGCGCCGCTGTTGTCGATTTGGTTGCCGGAGGTGCTCGAGGTGCCATCTACTACTACAACGATGTGCTCAACAAGCTGCAAAACCTCAATGTGCCCAAGTCGAAACGGGATAGCATCCAGGCACGCAAGTACCACTGGCACAGGAGAGCGGTTCACAGCGTGAAGTGGTCCAAGGATGGTAAGGAATACACCTCCAAGTAGTCGTGTTCGAAAATCGCTAATGTCGCTTCTAAGGTCATTACATGGTCTCCGGTGGCTCAGAGAATGTCCTCGTCTTGTGGCAGATGGACACTGGCAAGATGAACCATCTCCCTCATCTGTCCGGAAGCATCGAGAACGTGGTCGTGTCGCCTTCGGGATCATCCTACGCTATCCACCTCGACGATAACTCTGCCATGGTCCTGTCTACTGCGGAGATGGCGCCAACAACCTACATCTCTGGTATTCAGTCAGCTGCTCGCTTCACCTCGACTCCGAAAGACCTGCTCGTCAAGCGTGTGTGGTCGGTCGCTGATGACGTGCGACACCCTGTGCCCGCCGCTTTGAACCCTGCAGAGCCATCAAGACTGTACGTATGCACAGGCACTGGCCAGCAGGCAATGATGGCCGGCGATCTGCAATCCGCTCCTCTGCTGCAGTCGTTCGATATGGAGTCTTTCAGAAGCATCTCCAAGCAGGCCCTGGCCAGGACCCAGCCCACAGATGTCAACATCACCTCCAAGGGAAACCCAATCTCTGAACCGCGGATCACGCATGTTGCGTTTTCGCCAGACGGCAATTGGCTGGCCACAGTTGATGACTGGCAGCCGCCGAAACGCGATCTCGAAAAGATTGCCCCTGAGGCTCGCGAGCAATTCATCAAGTCGAGGCGCGAGATCTACCTCAAGTTCTGGGCTGTTGGCGAGGGTGACGAGCCCTTCGCTCTCTCTTCCAGGGTAAACAGCCCCCACGTCACCACTAGGCCCGAGACTGTCCTCGCCCTCACGGCAGACCACACGTCAAATAGGTTCGCAACTCTTGGAGACGATGGAGTGGCCAGGATATGGCACTCCAGGGTGAGGCAGCACGACGGCGTCACTTCCACAGGCAACTCCGGCGAGGCGTTGCAATCCTGGTCGTGTGGTGTTGCTGTTGCTCTTGGAAGCAACATCGGCGCCGACGCTCTCGCAATCACTGGAGAGAACGCCAACGAGCGCAGCGGTAGCCTCTGTTTCTCAGAGGATGGCTCCACCCTCTTCGTCGCTTTCGGCAATCGGAACGACGGCACCGTCTACGTTATCGACACTCACACTGGCGAGATCAGATTAACGTTGCAGAACATGTGGAAGGGACACATCCGCCGCCTGCAGGTTCTCTCCCCTCACGTCATCACCCTCTCCGACGATCTGAGGGTATACGACGTCGTCGCCGACGAGCTGCAGTACGGCATTCAGCTGCCCAGCGGGCGCAACGCCGCCGTGACCAAGGAGTTCAGCCACTTGGCCATCGACCGCAGATCGCGAACCTTCGCCGTCGTAGTACCAGGCGGCCAAGCCTCTCAACTCGCCGTCATGAGACCAGAAGAGCCCGAGCTGCTCTGCGTGAAGCGCATTCCCCATCGCGTCACTAGCCTGGTTTCGACCGGCAGCTCCTCCGGCTTCGTCGCCGTCGACGACGCAGCGCAACTCTGGACCATCGCCGAGGCATCGGACCCCGGATCCGTTGCTCTGTCGAGACCTTTGGAGGACATGCAGCTCGACGGCGAGCCCACCGCGGAGGATGCGATTATCGAAGACGAAGAGGAAGTCGAAGACGAGGAGATGGCTGTCGACGGGGCAGATGAGCCGAGTGAAGAGATGGATCTGGACGATGACGACGACCAGCCTGCCGTTATCAACCGGCAGCGTTTGGCGGATTTGTTCGATGCGGCGCCGGCATTCGCAATGCCGTCTGTCGAGGACATGTTTTACAAGGTAACAGGGATGCTGGCGACAACGCCGCTGCACGCCTCGTCATAGGCTTCAAAAGTTGTCAAAACATTGTGCAATATACCCAATAATAGAATGACTAAAAAGTGCTTGAACAAATCTTGGAGGGGTAGCCCGTCAGTTCATTTTGTCGTGTGAGATCGTGAAGAGCCCGCAGTCCGATCTTCGAACCCGGCCTTACCCCGCGGCCCCGATATGCGGGGCAGAACCCGAACGTCCAGTGCCCCGCTGCCGCAGCACGCCATCCCGTCACGTCATTGGGGATTGGTTATCGGATTACTTAACGACTCAGTTCTACAATAACCGCCTTCTCCCGTGTAGGGCGATCAAGTCTGTTGATTGCTCCCTGCTGCGCCTTGCACTTGACATATGCGGAGAAACCGAGTTCTTTAACTCTAATCCTCAACTGAACCAGACGTACGGCAACTATTGAGTTTCGTAATTCTAGGCCGCGTCTCATAGTCCACCATGTCTTTCACGTCGATCCCCATCCTAGACCTCTCGTTAGCTCAGAATCCCGAGACGAAGCCTCAGTTTCTGGAGGATCTACGTAGAGCTCTCATGGAAGTCGGCTTCTTATACATCAAGAACGTGGGAATTCCCGATGAATTATTCCAAAAGGTGATCAAAGAAGGCCGCGCCTTTTTCGACATCCCGCAAGAAGAAAAGTACAGTAAGCCGTTCAGCAGGGGGCAGTGTGGCAACCCTGGAAAACGCGGCGAATCAGACGAACTGACACCCTCAGGCTCAAGATCGAGATGAAGAACGCAAAGTCGTTCCTGGGCTACTCCCAGCTCTCCGCCGAAATCACGGCCGGCAAGATAGACCACCGCGAACAGATCGACCTCTCCACGGAACACCCCGTGCCCGGCCCCCGGGATCCGCTGTACCACAACCTCCTGGCGCCGAACCAGTGGCCCTCGGAACACGCGCTCCCCGGCTTCCGCGCCACCTTCACGGACTACATGGACCGCATGGGCCGGATCTCCATCGCCTTCACCTCGCTCATCGCCGAGGCCATCCGGCTCCCGCCCGACGCCTTCGGCAAGTACTTTGACGAGAACCAGCAGCACAAGCTCAAGGTCGTCAAGTACCCGGACGTCGGCGAGCTCGGCATCGACGCCGGCACCGGCGCGCGGGGCCAGGGGGTCGGCCCGCACAAGGACAGCATGCTGACGAGCTACCTCCTCCAGGCGAGCCACCACCGCGGGCTGCAGGTGCAGAACGTGCGGGGCGAGTGGATCGACGCGCCGCCCATCGACGGCACCTTGGTCGTGGCCATCGGGCAGGGGCTGGAGGCGCTGACGCAGGGCGTGTGCGTGTCGACGACGCACCGCGTGCTGAGCCCCGCGGCGGGCGAGGGCCCGCGGTTCTCGATCCCGTTCTTCCAGGGCGTCAGGGGCGACGCCGAGTTCGAGGACCTGGAGACCGTCGGGGTCGGGAGAGTGCCGGAGGACATCCGCGAGCAGAGGAGGAAGGTGATTGAGGAGAACGGCGGGCGGCTTGACGATGTCGAGTTCACGTTCAGAAAGGGCGGGGTCGCGAGGACGCTTGGCGAGGCGACGCTGAGGAACCGCGTGAAGAGCCATCCGGATGTTGGCGAGAGGTGGTATCCGGATATCCTGGCTGCGATTCGGGAGGAGCAGGCGAGGGCGGCTGAGAAGGAGGAGAAGGCCGCCCCGGGTCCTGCTGCTCCTACGCCGACCCCGTTGCCCGTGCCCGCGCATTGAGGTGCGGACCTTGCTCCGGTGTTCGGTTCCGGTTTGAGACGAAGATGACCTAAGCGCGCGTATCCAACAGCAGGATTATGTGTGTACTCGTAGGCTCGTATTTGTCTTTTTCTTTTCCGATATAAAGAGAGCAAAATTCCAATGTTACGCCTTCGCTGATACTTCTCTCACCCGACTCAACTCAACTCAACTCCATATCGCGCCATTCTCCCGGCATCCAGCACGCCACAACAACTCCAAATTTCTCGTCAAAACTCGTGATTTATGCGGCAACAAAGGCGGGGAAGCAGTCAGCAAGACCCTTGCTGTGCTTGTTCTCGGCGTGCTCGGTAAGACTGTCGATGACAAGGCTGTTAGTCTCATGCTGCTGTGCGCGCGCAAGGTACAAGAGACCGCGCAAGCTTAGTATCTTCTGGGGGGGAGACGTACGCGGGAGCCTTGGTGGTCTTGAGGAAGGTGGACTTGCAGATCTGGCACTGGATGTCCTTGGCGGCGGCGTTCTGTCGCGGGGCGCGGGTCGGTCAGCGACTGTCGAGCATTTGCGATGGGGGATGAAAAGCTGCGTTCGTCGAACTTACCACCTTGAGCTGAGAGCCCTTGGGCTTGGCGTTCTGTGCGTTGCGGTCGCGCTTCTGCTGAGCCTTCGCGCCCTGCGTTTTCCCCGAAATGTCAGCGGCTTGCCCCTCAATTTTTTTCCGGTTCCATTTCCACCGGACCCTGATCAGCGGTGGGGGAGGGGTAGTGTTGTGTGCGAGTGGCGAGTACGTACGTTACCCATCTTGAATGCTGTGAGGTGGTTGAGGTTTGGGTTGTTTTGGTAGATTGGATAGGAGGACGTGTACGTCGTGAGGTCGTTGAATCGTGAGGCTTGAAGGAAGAGGGAAGAGAGAGAGAAAGCCGAGGCGGGCGCATTAGGTTCGCTTCTTTTTTTTTTCTTCTCCCTCGGACGACCCCGTAGCGCTTCTGCATGGATCTGCAGTCCAGACTGTTTTGGGCTTGCTGAGAAACAAAGACGCACGGACCAGGAACCTAATCAGCAGGCGGTAGGGGTCTGTGGTACGTACCTCGCGCTCCAGGACGGGAATAATTGAAACGTTCGTGATATCCACTGTCCAACATCGTGTAAGTAATTGTTAGTGAAAGCCCCTGCTCTATCCTTGGACTCACAAGACCAACATATCACGTGCATCGCTAACCGACGTAAGCAGAATATCAGGCTGTCACCAAAATGATGATCATTTGGATTGCAAACTTTGTGTGCCTGTACAGCTTTATACCTACGTGGGTTCTCTGATCACGGAAGAACAGCAGCGGAGAGTTGCAACACGAGTCACATATGTGGTATGTAAGACAACAACTAGGCCGACCAATTGTACAGCTTACTAACTGAGACAAATAGCCTAGTGACGAGCGACCCCAAAACTGCTTCTCCAACTTCGCAGTTCCAAAGCTACCCGCCAGATATATCGAGGCGCAGCCAGCCACTCCAATTCCTACAGGTTGAGTACTTGGTACTTTCTTACCGCACTGGCTTCCCTGTTGCTGTTACCGAAGCCTGGTCGCGATGTGTAGACCGGACATCATCGTGAGGGCCGCAGTCCGTAGCCTCGATAAAAAGATGAGAACAGCCAAAGAGAAGGGGGGGAAGTTCGTGGAGCTGGAGGAGATGCTTCGGAACATGAAAGTACGACTGCCAAAACACACTTCATGCCAACCAACCAGCGCCTGTGCCGCAATGCATTCTGGTCACGAAGGACTAGGCGGGATTGAGAGAAGAGAACTCTCCAGAGCAGAAGTGTACGATTTGCAAACCTGCGTTGATAAGGCCGGGCGGAACTTGTCAGTGGGCACAACTGCCAAAACTGCGGTGCTGACAATCAGCGAAGACCTTACGCTGTTGAGGGATGATGATTGTCATCCTGTGAGGTGGAGAAGCCCGGTGAAACTGTCGATATCAGATGGCAGATTGTGCTACTTTGATGGGACCGCCGCTCTCCCCGTACCTGCCGGTGTAGCTGATTGGCTGGCTCTTAGGGTGACTCTCTCCATGATGGATTTACCAACGTGCGTGTACGAGATAGCCGTTGAGTTGGGAGCCAAGCCCGCCAGTTTGCAAGGGGACAAGAACCTGTTGCGCACCTTCGCTAGCCTAGCTGATGGCGACTTTGAGGGCGCTGCAGTATCCGTTTACAGCGAATTAGAGGCTGAGATGGAGTCAAGAGCGCCAAGATTCTCTCGTGCCGGCACGACCCCGGAGGACATCACGCCGGCGTTCCCAACTGACGTGCCTGCTTGTTTTGACAGAGAAACGCAGAGGCGGTTGAAGACACAGCGTTTGGTAGGACCCTTGCCCACGAGGATCATCAACACTACAACTGGATTAGTCGAAGATGGCCATGGAAGTGGCAGATACGCCGCGCTCTCTTACTGCTGGGAGCAGGTGGACCTCACCACGATGCTGGGGCCTATCTTGAAGCTGGTGAGAGAGGCCGGCATCGACTGGCTGTGGGTGGATGCACGTTGTATCATGCAGAACAACCTGGAGGACAAGGAAACGGAAGTGCCCAAGATGGGCAGATACTATGGCGGGGCTGCCCTCACAGTGGCCGTGGTGCCCGAGATGCAGGAACTGAACAAACTGACAGACATACAGGTCGGGGAATATGTCGATGAAGAGAGTGTCAAGGCGTGGCCTGACTGGAGAGACCAGCTGAAATCGGCAAAGTGGACAAGCAGAATGTGGACGTTCCAGGAAGCCGCACTGAGCGGAAACTTGGCCGTCATTGGATTGGGTACCTCCTGCAACATGGATACGATCATGTGGGCATCCAACGTCCGTGATATGCGGCGAGATGGCCAGAAGGTTCTGTTCAGTAGAAGACAGGGGACAGACAGTGTCTGTACCGGCAGCGGCCTCTCTAACTGGAAGTATTACTACCACAGCGGCTATGGGTGGCCGCGAGGATCCCAGACGAAGATGGAGCTTGGTGACTTATGGGACATGACAGCGGGCCGGGAATGCAAAGAGAGGCTCGACCGTATATATGCTCTCCTCGGCTGTCTGACGGGCACCAGTTCTCTGACCGTGGATTATCAACAGGACGAGGGTCAGCTGGTGTACCAACTTGCCAAGGCTGGCGTGCTACGAAGCGAGGTGATGGTTGGGATGGGGGCAGCAACCAAGGATGGAATGTGTTGGGCGCCGGAGAGGATAGATGGCCTACATCCGCTTGCTCTCGCCCATGCCGCCATTGGAGGACGAATAATCATGCTGGGAAGGCGTATGCTAGTAAGAGGACGGGTCATGAACGCATCCCAGCTGGAGAAGTATTGCGGCATAGTTTCGGAAGATGGGAAATCGAGGCTGGTGGTAGATACCGGGGCCAAGGCTGAGGTGGTCGTTTTGGAGGGAGAAGCTACATCGTGGTTCGGCTGGCACCGTACGCAGGGCTCGGCTGGTAAAATGAGGCCAGCAGACAAAGCGAAGATGTGGTGGCCACTACGGCTTGTTGGTTGCTCTTGTCGGAGTGGAGAGAGGTGTGGTGGGAAAAGAGTTGATTCTTTAGATAGTCTCCAGTAGGCTTTAACAGTAATACAAATGCTCGGCTGGCGAGCGAGAGATGTTACCGTGAGTTACCGTGATCCTCGAGATCCAAGTCTTCACAGTCACTAAGGTAGCGACGGAATGTTTTTTTAGGCCGGTGTTTTTCGCAACATTTTCGGACGATCTGCCTCCACTGAGGGGCACGTCCCGGGTGGGGGCCTTCCGTGTGGATGGCGGAGGACGGACTATGTGGGACCCTCTTCTTTCACGTGTTCGACTGGCACCCCTGCTCGTTTTGTTCCGTATTTCCCTGAATAGCAGGGGAAAAGCTTCTGGGCGTTTTCGAGGACTTGGTCTCACATGTTCGCCGCACTAGACGTCTGGAGATTCCCGTCCCTACACCACTCACTTCTTGCAACCGAGACCCGTACTCGATACAAAATTGAGCAGTTCTGCTGCGTAAGTGGATTGGTCCGAGCTCACCAGGAATTCCTGGGCCACGACGCGTATTGTCACTTGCGGTCGCGTCGTACTTCTTAAGCAACCAAACGCGTCAACCCCAGATGAAAAGCCGACTTGTTAGACGCTCAAGTTGAAGCATATTCCCAATCAGGAATATTTCAGCACATCATCTGCCACGACTCCATCACTCCATCGATCGCGCATATCATGTCAACTAAGCTCGTGTCACCGGACAAGGTGTCCGGCGACGAGTTCAAGCAGCTTCTTGACCACTACGAACCTCTCATTAATTCCATATCTGCCTCCAAAGGCGGTACGTCGGCCCTTGATCGCGTCTTTCCCCGCACCAGTTTCTATCTACAATTTATCTAACGACCGTATGCAGCAAAACCTGGTCAGAAGACCCTGCACGAGCTGGATCTGTTCCGTTTCGTCGAAGCTCCTGCACAGTTTTCTCAAGATGACCCGAAGCGAGACATGGAACACGATGATGTCAAGGTTCTGGTTGATTGGAAGCTGTAAGTGTGCACCTTTCTAGCCGCATCCTTGCCACAGTTAGAGCAGAGCATTGCTACAAGCGTACCAATCTCAGCGCAAGGCAGCCATGTCATCACCATATTCGCGATGGCTGCGAAGGAATCATGTCTGACAGAATCGCGCAGACGCCACGGCAAATTTCGTCCGACGCTGATGAAACTTGTATCGTCAAATGACTCCTCCACGGTCGAGGAGATTGTCAAAGAAGGCATCGAAGCCTACAGAGATGCGTCGGATCTTGCAGCAGCACTCAATATCTTGACCAAGCTGAAGGGAATTGGCCCTGCGACTGCCTCACTTCTCCTGGCTGTGCATTTTCCAGACCAAGTCCTTTTCTTCTCCGATGAAGCGTATTACTGGCTGTGCAACAAGGGCCAAAAGGCGTCACTCAAATACAACATGAAAGAGTACGAGTCTCTCAACGTCGAGGCACGCAAGTTGACAAAAAGACTGGGTGTCTCGGCAATGGATGTTGAGAAAGTTGCATACGTCCTATTCAAGCAAGAGGGCATTACTCTTCAGACAACGACTCAGGACTCAACTCCCAAGACTGCAAAGATGAAGGCAGAAACCCCGAACAATTTGACGACAAAGAGGAAGAAGAGCTCCGAGGAGGTTATCGAAGCCGACGCCCCATTCCGACGATCAAAACGAGGAAAGGCAACATGATAAGCTTCTTTGTGGCGAGCTTTCACAGGCGGAATATGTATCCCGCCCACAACGGCAGATGCGAACCACGAACCGGGCATCTTGACCCAATCCAGACTCATGGGTCCCGTGGATCTACCGGGTTGGGCCCGCGATGCATGCATATCCCAAATGGGTGTGACTATCGGCGCATCCCACGAGCGCCCAACCTTGAGGCGGAGAGTCCGCGTTTCACACTGGACTTTCGGGTGTTCGTCTTTGCTGCCCCGAAAAATTTCCCATTGGTCTTGCGCGCGGGAGAGATATAAAGCGGCACAGCGGCCCGGCTACAGCGCAGTCAGCAGAAGGCTTTTCTCTGGCTGAGCCGTTGGGACCCGCCCGATTTTTTTCCGGGACGCGTGATCTGCAGGACCCCGGATCCCAGACGGAGGACGCCGAGACCACCGTTACTTCAGTGCATATCCAATCCTTACACACAACGAGCATACGACACGGGTATCTTCCGACTTGTCTGCGGTCCTAGACCGTGTACGTTTGCCTATCGTCACGATGGACGATGAATTATTCGACGCCCATTTTGGGGCTGCTGGCGAAATGCCGCCTCCACCGCCACCAGATTTCTCGTCAATGCCCTACTCATCAGACCTCTTCTCTCAATATATATCACCCTTTGATACCCCCAGCTTACTCTGGTCACAATCTTTTCCTCCAGCTATGGACAATCGACCAAGGGGCTTTATGCGTGCAGATGAAATATTCTCGGAAAACGGCGGCCCTATCCCGCTGCCCCCGAGGTTCGCGCAAATCAAGCGAAGCCTTGTCGCCGGCAAAGAGACGGCCGTAGTGGACTCTTGGAACCGGCTCTTAGTCGCCCTCCGTGCCGAGATCGCGCTGATCGGCGTTACCAAGTCTGACATCATCCCCACCATCGACTTTTCGGAACTCAAGGACCATGCCCGTGTGTCCGAGTTCGCTGCCAAGCTTCGTCGCCGAGGAGGCGCCGTAATACGAAGTGTTATACCGGCCGCAGACGCTCATGTCTGGCGAGAAGAGACTGAAAGGTATCTTTCCGATAACCCTGAAACACGAGGTTGGCCAACTCGTGATCCACATCTCTTCGGCATCTACTGGTCACCGGCTCAGATCAAGGGTCGCGCTCATCCGAATGTCCTGGCTGCACAACGTTTCTTGATGGGTCTTTGGCGCTCGAGGAATACGAACGCTTCGGTGGCTGTGGATCTACCCGTGGCATATGCGGACCGTCTGCGTATCCGCGCACCGGGGGACGAACATTGGCATTTGAACGCCCATGTGGACGGGGGTAGTGTGGAGCGCTGGGAGAGCGATGGGTATGGGAATGCCGGCACGTATCAGCGCATATGGGAGGGGAGGTGGGAGGACTACGATCCATGGGAAAGCAGCACACGGCTAAAAGTCACTTCGGACCTCTACAACGGCGCAGGGTCATGCAGTATGTTCCGCATGTTCCAAGGCTGGCTCTCCATGTCCGATATCGACCCCGCCGACGGCACTCTCTTACTCTGCCCGATGCTCCAGCTCGCCACGGCCTACTTCCTGCTTCGGCCATTCTTCTCACCACACAACCCGTCTCCCGAATCCCCAAACTTTCTCGCCCGCGAGAACTGGTCCCTCGACTTCATGCAGACAAGCATCATTCAGGGTGCCGTGCCGTCGTACACGCAGGAACTGAACGCGACCCTGCACCCTCACCTCCAATTCGACAAATCCCTCGTGCGCATCCCGCCCGTCCGCCCCGGCGACTACGTCGTCTGGCATCCGGACATGGTCTACGGCGTCGACAAGGTGCCCTCGACGGCCTTGCCCGCGACCATCATGTACATACCCGCCTGTCCGCTGACACAGACCAACGCTCTGTATCTCGCCCGCCAGAGGAAAGCTTTTCTCCTCGGGCAGCCGAGCCCGGATTTCGGTGGCGGCCGGGGCGAGACGACGCACATGGGCCGGCCTGGGGTGCAGGAGGTCAGCGATGCCGGCGGGGAGGACGGGCTGAGGGCGATGGGGTTGCTGCCGTGGGAAGATCGGGAGGGGAGGAGTCCGACGGAGGAGGCTCTCGTGAAGATGGCCAATGCCATCCTGTTTCCCGAACAATATGACATGGTCTGATGATGGCGGTTATTGTATCGAGGCGCTGGTAGCAATACCTCCAGACGCATCCAAAAGATTTAGGCGTTCAGCTATGGGGAGTCTCTGGAAAAGCTGGGAAAGCACTGGAAGAAACGGCCAAACAAAGTTGTACTCGGAAGATTCTGTAATGGTACGCTTGTTCTCCAACTATTACTCCAAGGAGACGACACCAGCAACACCTGCACGAATTCGGCCTCCGCGATTCATCCGATGCGGATGGATGAAGTGCGCCGTGAGGTGATCCCACACGATGGCTCGGGTGATCCGCAGCAGCACGATGCAATAGAGGCTAGGCTGTTTCAACATGTGTCGATTGTGCTCTTCCACGTACACCTCTCAAAATCCTTGGTATCCTGAGCGCTAGCCCTGGTTGCTGAACGCAAACGAATTATCCACCCAGGTTTCCAACTCCGAGAAGAATTCCGCTCTCGATCCAGTCGATGGTTTCTTTTTCCATGAGCGAAGAGCTTGTCGATATCCTTGTCTTCGTGGACGAGGAAAGGACGTCTGGTTTCGCCGGACTTGGTGTCGTTGCCCTTCCGGGTCTTAGCTGTACCTGATAGGCAGCGGTAGAGAACTTTCTGGTCTGCGTCGACAAACTATTTGTATGCAAAACTACTCCCTGTGGTACCATCTTTTTCATCCATCATCCGTCATCAGTAAACAATGTAGAGAGGTTTGGGATGGTCTTGACCCTTTCCATGGGAGAAATGACCCAAAAGCAAGGTGAAATGGACCGAAAGGTAGGTGGTTTCTGTGGATTGAATCTGTTTGTCCACAGATCGGTACAAAATGTACCTTTATGGCGGTGATATCCAGCGTGGATGTTCAGAGCATGGTCGCTTTCTTCCATCACTGCCTTCCCCTTAGACCACACATCTTGCCACCGGCCAATACAACACACCACCAACACCAACGACATACGTCGTCAGTATCGCCAACTTCATGTCGTCTCCGCCATCGCCCGCTCGGCCGCGCTCACCCAACGCGTCAGATGCGCGAGCATCTTACCCCGCTCCCGATCTCGACGAGGAAGCTACGCGGTATGAGCCTGGCCAGAGATTCACGATACAGCCCTACAATCCTGTCCGTCCTCATGGCACTCAGTTTTATGGTCCTCCTCCGCGAGATGCGATCCCTCCTGGAGGCCTCCGAGGCTTTGATCCGGGAGCTCCGGTGCCTGAGGATACTTCGGCTGACCTTGAAATTATCCATCCTCTTTCTGTCTCCAACGGTGGAAGGGCACAAATCGTTGCATGCGAGATGATCCGCTCCCCCAAGACAAGCAGGGACTCGCACGCACCGTTTCCCTCCTCCCAAGGAAAAGACAACAAGCCTAGTCGCCAGCGATTTGCCGCCAAGATGTACGACTGGGCCTTCCAGGCGAGTGATATCTTCGGAGCCAGCCCCGAGGAGGCGGTCGAGGGGATCTTCAGTCGTGAAGATGCCGTGCTGAGACGTCTATACGACAAGAACTTGACCGGCAACCCGCACCTGGCGCCTCAATACTATGGAAGTTGGGCCACAGAGTTCATCATTGACGGAGGCGACAGCGGAACTCTGTATCGATGCGTTGGACTCATCCTGATCGAGCTCGTTGAGGGGTCGTCAATGGAGGATATGTGCTCCCGTGACGAGACATGGGGGTATCTCATTCCCAGCCTCAAGCCCCGAAAACTCCACACAGGCTCTGAGGGTCCAATCAAGTTCGAATGCAACAAGAAGGAGGCCCTCAAGAGCATCACGAGACAGCTCCTGGACGGATCCGTCAGGCACTTTCACGTCGGCGTTGATCATAATGGCGCCCACCCCCAAGACTTGTTCGTCACGATGCGAGACCACGGTCGAGATACGGATGAGCCACGCCTCGTGATGCTCGGCTATTCCCTGAGCGTCGTGTATCGGGAAACCACCCTAGGCAGGATCCCAGATAATGGTGTCCACTGCATCGAGCTGCTGGAATTCCCTCCCCATCCCTATGAACGCTTCAGCGTGGGTGCCATACCCTTTCACGTCGGGTGGTTTCCAGACCCTCCATCGGCTTGGGTAGAAGAAGGCGTGGATCCCATCGATCCCGCGAAGTTCGAAGACCACAACGTGGAGTTCGACAATTTCCTTTTGAGTGAAGAGGGTTTTGGGCCCCTAGTGGACAAGTCCAAGGAGGAGGGCGGCCGTTACTCCACGTTCAAGGTCTTGAAGGGGAACAAAGCCAAGATGGAGGCCGAAGAGGCAGAGCGTTACACCAGACACCTGCGCAAGCAGGCTGAAGAACGGGAGCTCGAGGAGTCGTTGGAGAGCATGTCCGACTCTTCCATTGAACCGTCTGTTCCGGAAATTAACACCAGTATTGACAAAAGAGATCAGACAGAGACAGAGTCTCGACCCGGGCTCGGGCTGCCTGCCACAGAAACCAGCAGCATCACGCTTCAACAAGATGAGCCGGAGACGGGACATCAGCATGAACTGACTGGGTTCGTGAGAAACATCTTGCAACGAAGCATGGACATGTTCAGTGACTGTAAGGAGAATCCGATGATGGAGGAAGAAGCAGGCTGACCCTGTCTTTCAGTGTTTGGAGTGGACGGCAATCCGCTTCGAGCTCCTCCTCGGCCAACTGCTGCCAAGCACTCTTCCCACGCCACTCTAGCTCTCATCCAACGGGTCATCAATTTTGGCCTCCGACCTCTTGGATCATCGCCAGAGGCTCGTCTGTTTCAGACCGTCATCAGCGAGCATTCTCGCCCATTGCCGGCAAGGGAGCCGAGACCAAGATACGAGCAGGGCCGATTAGTTGGTGGTGCTGGTGTTAATGCGTGTCTCTCTTGAAATATCCACAGATTGAAAATACTGGCTCGACAGAGAGGTACACGAGTAGAGGAAGGGTTACTAGCGGTTTCTCGGTTCTATATTCATACGGACACGTTTCGATGGCATCTCAGGAGTCATCAGGTCTAGGAGGAAGGAACACATGAAAAATTGTCCCGGGGTCCCGATATGCAGAACATTTTAGGATCTCGTCCACGACAGTTCGATGGAAACAAATTGTCGCAAGCATGCCGCGCAACGGAGGTTTCAGCACGTCTTTCTGATATTGTGATATTGTCTGAACCAAAGACAAGAAATCCCTTGTCAGTCAGTCGCTTCAGCTAATAGCTCAAGAGTGAACCGCTGTCGCTCTTGATTTGATGTTTATCGTATAAAAGTCAGTTCCGATGACTGCTCAGTAGATCACCGTCAAAAGTGCAAAAATGCAAAACGAATGTTCCGAAACCGAGAATCGAACTCGGGGCTATGCCTAACCTCTCAAGTGAATGAGAGGGCATCATGTTGGCCACTACACCATATCGGAGTGCGTTGCACAGAATCGTCAAAAAGAAAACTAAGAAGCTGTCACTGCTGGTGGGCCCCAATTGGCGCTAGCGGCTGGCCTCTGTGTAACCCTCGCAAGGAAACCCCAAGCGTCTCTCCGCCAAACCTGCAGTCATATCCGGAGTTCACATCCGGGCCCGGCGGGAGACGAGTCATGATCCGGTTCGAATCCCATGTCAACAACCCCCGTGCCTCGTGGACGACGCTAGCTGCTGCCTGCCGCGGGAAACGGCCGACCGTCGTCGTCGTCTGCTGTCGCAAACCATCCGACCGCTTCGGATCTGACACCCAAATCCATCTCGAAAATATCTTTATCCGTACGTAGCGTGCTCTGGCCTGGTGCTGGGAAATCCCCTGGGTAACCCTCCGGCAAATGGATACCCATACCGTTCTTCATCTCACCTCCCCTCCTCCCCCCCGGTGCTCTGGAGCCGGTGGGTGGGTGGTAGTTCGGTGGAGTAAGAGTGACGTAAATCGATCTTTCTGCAGTTCATCGTTTGGAAATGTTGGTGATGTCCTCCCGGGATTGTCGTTAAACGAGGTGATAGGTGATACTCCCTCGTCCCAGAGGGCATGTAGATGGTACTTTCGGCATTTGTACACGATACAAATCAAGGGTTGCGACGACCTCAGATCCCGTCTGTCTCTCTTGGCAAGGTTCGGTTGGCATCGTTTCGTTCCTTGTCTGAACTATTGGAATGATCTCGTCTCGCTAGAGAGATAGGTAGAGAGAGGGGGATCAGCAGGACGCTTCGAGTTTGGACGGAAGGCTGGAGACGACCGAAACCCCCCATCATCCACAGCATCAGCTGGCTTCATGCAGATTGAAATCGTGTTAGTCGATTCTCGCGCGTCCGAGTCGTGCGAGATGCGCATCGTCGTCCGGCCCCATCGCCCGTTCGTCAGACTCATCAGAGTATGACGCAAGTCAGATATCATATCCGGGGCCCTTCGAGGTTGATCAAAGGACTGATTTGCCAGGCGATTCCTCGCTCTTCCGTCGTGGTCCTCTCCTCGATGCAACACACGTTGTGTCTAGAACTCCAATCCCGCCGCCCGGGGGGTGTCTTGGCAGGAAGCTGGGACTGAATCATGTCCCGTGCTCGGCGGGCGACTTCGGCCCCCGTTCGAACGCGCTCCTCTCCAAACCAACTTCTCGTCTCCAACTTCCGCTGGGCTGGGGTGCTCTCCCCAAACACGCACCAGAGGCCGGGAAGTTCTCCAGGACCCTTGTTTGGGTAACTTGCTATTTTCCAGGGGTCCCCGAATGCGAGGATGGGAAATTCTTGTGTAACCTCAGCTCCGGACCTGCTAACCTCAACTACTCACCGTTTGGGCAGCGTTTGGAGAGGAAGATGCGAGGTTAACGGTCTGTTGTCGTGATCGCAGGCGAGCAGGGTCCCCTGAGTCGAAACTCCAACTTCCTTGGATTGCGATATTGCCGCCGATTAGCGTGGAGAGACTTTGCGTCATCCAATGTCGATAGGGCAGAGTTACTTTGTCATGGTTTGATACTATTGATTGAAACGTCGTCGACGGGCGGCACGGGTCTCCCTCTTGTTCTGATGGGGGAAAGGTTCGAAGACTAAATTTGGTGTAACGTCAAACCTGAGATGACGTCGCTCAAGGTTTGGGGAAGGAGTTGGTTTGACTAGACTCTGGAAGGTTACACGAACCTACCTGCCATTATTCAGTCACAGTGTCCTTCGCTTGATAACATGCAAGATAAGTCTGGTGGCTCGAACGCCGATTAACCCCGGATTGCTGACGCGGGGTATCGGCTAAGATAGGATTGAGGCAGTGGTTCTTGATCTGGTAAAGCTTGTAGCCCAGAACAAACCCCGAAGCTGATCTTTCAACCGTAACTTGAGGTGGCTAGAACATTTCGCCAAGATTGCTGTGAGCGGCATGCCCTGATCTATTCTAAACGTTATCCAACCAATATTGTCGAATTTGAAGATGCTACATGCAATTACCAGAAACCGTCTTCGCTGTCAGAGTCGATTGTATAGATTGCTGAAGGTATATCATAGTACCCTACGATCTCGCCGCCCTGCCAACGAGGTCGTTGGCAAAAATGTCCAACGTTGATGGGGGGCATCGTGCCATCGATTTTTCCATTGAAAAGTAACATCGACAGCGTGCTGTATTGATATGTTCCGGAAGAATCCGTAATGGACTTGTTCAATTTGTCGACAACCCTCCTTCGATTGGCGGTTTGCTCCTGCGATGTCCAATCTGCAGCTTCGGCATACCGGTGACGGTCCTCATACGCAATTCCCACGAGGATACTCTCTATCTCGCAGTGAACATGATCGTTATCGTCGAAGTCGCCCGATGGCTCGTATTCTCCATCATCAGGTTGTATAATCATTTCTACAAAGTTCATCAAGAGGTCGAAAGCCAAGGTTGGCCCATTGAGCCTTTGCCCGAGTTGCCAGAGGTCGTAAGTTGGCTGCAAGAGTGGCGCGACTGCGTTGCCCCGATCAGATACGTTCGCCGCGGTTCTCAACTTCTCGGTTTGCCTGATGACCTTGGCGATTGCGGATTCCGCCTGACCCCCAATCTGCTGGGCCTGCTGCTTGACGCGCTCTCGCTCTGCGTCCCATGATTTGTCTGCGTATGTGTGAAGCTGTGCCTCGATGAATGGACCGCACAAGGGGTCTGCGAGTAAGTCCTGGAAGCACGATTTGAGGTCGGGAAGGGTGATGCGCGATAAGATGCCTTCTGTTGAGTTCTCGTCGAGTCCGGGCTGGTGTCGTTTGGGAGATATCTCAACTGCATCGACTGCGTCAAGTTCTCTTTTGGGGACAAAACCCATTGTGATGAAATGAATAAATGGTTTGAATTGTAGAATAATGAGGTCTGCTCAAGAATGGAATCCGGTCAAGAGTTGTGGTGAGAAGAGACTGAGAAGTGCGTCACTTGTAAAAGTCACGACCAAGACGCGCCAGACGCGACGTGGTAGCATGGCGAGACATGGATTAGAATGGAGGACCCTCTCTTCGCGATCTGCAAGTAACGTGAGAAGTGTTTCTTTTTCTGGCAATGTCTCCATACCAACTAACCATCTGCACCTCGGACTGCCCAATGGTTCGAGGCCCAACTGAAATAAGGTAAAAGGCATTCAGTGCCAGCTAGATGGTGGTTATATGTCAAGTTGTAATAAGCAACTCTTACCATTCGCCAGCTGCCCAGCTCCGGCACGCACGCGACCAATCACACCGACCCCCGGCACTCGGTGACAGCGGCGCGGGAACTGACGTCCCGTCGACGTACTCCGTACCCAAGGTCGACGGGTGGAAAAGGAAAAAAAAAAGGTTCGGGGAACACAGCAGGCCAATGCAGGGGCCGAAGATGGCCCAAGCTTGGCCTTCTAGGCGAGGGGGTTACCACACCTGGAGATTTGATACGTGGATAGAATTGCTAGGGACCAAGGCAGCTAAAAGCGACTCCGCCAGCTGAATGTCCCGTCCTTGCTGGGGCATGGGCATGAGGACACCGCACTAACAAGGACCCGTCATCCGTCACCGAGGCCAGACCGCAGCACCTTACCTACCTACCTCCCTGGAAGCACCTGAACCTGAACCTGGAGGAGGAAGCTGTGACCCAAGACCAAGCACCAAGCACCAAGCAAGACCAAGACCTACCAAAGGTGGGCTCTTGACGGCTGGGTTCCAATTCTGCCAGCATTCTGCAACCAAAAAACCACCAACCTCACACGTCAACGTCGTTTCGAGTCATCTGCCAACTGCAACAACCACGCACCTATCTGTAAACATTTCCTCATTCACGACTCAGACTCACGTGCGACCTCGACCACGACTCGACCGAACACCCGCAAACCCGCCCAATTGCCACCCATCCACTCGACGCCATCTCAATTCCGCCCTCGCCCTCGCCCTCGCCCTCGCCCTCGCCCGTCGCTCCACGTCCTAACCCACCATCGCCCGCACGCTTTCTCCTCGGATCTTCAAATCCCATATCCTCGCCAGAGGGGGGGCAATGACCATTCCCCCGCTGAACCATGGCTGATTCGGCCAGGTCATCGGACAAGAACCCCCGGTCCCCCTCCAAGTCCAAGGTCGTCCGCTCCCAGAAGATCTCCGGCCCGGCACCCACTCCTCCGCCCGGCATCGTCGGCGGCCTGCCCGATGATCTCGAGGAGCTGAGTGACGAGCGTGATCTCGACCAACATCGCCGCCTCCCTCCTGCTCCCGCTCCCGCTCCCGCTCCCGCTCCCGGTGGCACCCTCCCCCGTTCCCACACCCCCGGCCACCTTTCGTCAAAGAGCCAAGATCGTCGCCGCAAGCCCTCCGACCTCTCCATCCGTCAGCGTTCTCAGTCCGCCTCACAACCACCGCCTACCGTCCCTCCGACCCGCACCACGCCCACGAGCGCGAACCATCCCAAACCTCTACCCTCTTCCTATCGACCCACCGCCGACGCCGCCAACACCGCCAACACCAATGACGGCTCCGAGTCAGCCGGAGGTCACGGCTCTGACCGCGACGGCCGCCGCCCTGTCGCCATGCGCTCGACGTCCGCCATAGCTGGCAAGGCCTCAATACCTTCCTCGTCAACGACGACACGTCAGCTGTCAACTGCTGCCGCCGCTGCCGCTCGAGTTGCTGCTAGGGGGCAGCATGTTCCTTTCCCTCCGCTACAGGATCCCAAGACGGCCCCTGATGTGCCTCCAGCCCCTTCGTCAGGCATGTACTGGTCACGCGCGCCCGTATCAGGTTCTCCTCATACCTCCCTGCGAGCCCACACCACGACCCTGGTGGGTTCCAACATCTTCGTCTTCGGCGGCTGCGACTCCCGCGCCTGCTTCAATGAGCTCTACGTCTTTGACGCCGATGCCTTCTACTGGTCCATTCCCCACGTAACAGGCGAAATACCAGTGCCTTTACGCGCCATGACCTGCACAGCCGTCGGGAAGAAGCTGGTCATCTTTGGCGGTGGTGATGGGCCCGCCTACTACAACGATATATACGTCCTCGACACGACAAATTTCAGATGGCACCGCCCCAAGGTTATAGGCGATCGTGTCCCGTCTAAGCGTCGCGCCCACACCGCCTGCCTGTACAAGAATGGTATCTACATCTTTGGCGGCGGCGACGGGGTCCGCGCTCTTAATGATGTCTGGCGCCTCGACGTCAGCGACATGAACAAGATGTCGTGGAAGCTCGTCTCTGCCCCTGAGCGGGCCCCACCTCCGGGCGTTCGGGAAACCCGGCCGAAGCCCCGCGGCTACCACACGGCCAACATGGTGGGCAGCAAGCTCATCATCTTTGGTGGCTCCGACGGTGGTGAGTGCTTCAACGACGTGTGGGTCTACGATGTCGACGCCCACATCTGGAAGGCCGTCTCCATCCCCCAGACCTTCCGTCGTCTATCGCACACGGCCACCCTTGTTGGGTCCTACCTCTTTGTTATCGGCGGCCACGACGGCAACGAATATTCCAACGACGTCCTTCTCTTAAACCTCGTCACCATGACCTGGGATCGACGCCGCGTCTACGGTCTCCCCCCGAGCGGTCGTGGCTACCACGGCACCGTCCTGTACGACAGCCGCCTTTTCGTCATCGGCGGCTTTGACGGCAGCGAGGTGTTTGGGGATGTGTGGATGTTGGAGCTTGCCGTGCACGCGTATTATTCCCAAATCAGCCATTTCACCATCGAGGTTTGAAGCCTTTCCGCCACCCCCGCGCGCGCGTCTAATTACTATGCTGCTGCCTTAATGCGAGCCGGCTTCTCTTTTGTCTCCCTCCAGACTATACGTGCGTGTGCGTGTGCGTGCGAGGTATTTCGCGTCCTGTTCTACTCTGTATCGTTACAACCCCTACTCTGAGTTACTACAGTATTTATGTTTGATGACGGAACGGCTTCATAAAATCCGGTGGGCGGGCGGCTGGCAGGCATGCAAGAATCTATTTTTTCCCTTTTCCCGTCGAATATAGTAAATCAAATCTCAAACAAATTCTGCTAGATGCGTTCCCTCCTATTCACCTCCCAAACACAGGTGTGCTAATTTGACAGTTTGAGAGAAGAGAGAGTGACGCAATGGATATGTACAAACCGGCAGGCAGCGGGAGAAGATCAAACGCGGGACACCGCTTATCCTCGATTGCTGGCCGGGGAACCCGTTTCTGAAAGCCATCATTTACCACTGACTCGGGTAACGTTGGAAAGGGATGGCAGACGGGAATACGTCATCTGAACGCAGCAGACAACCCGGGCCGGTGTGTACCTCGTCGACAAGAGAAAAGAAAGCTACCCCAAAGCAAAGCCAAGCAAGCATGGGAGACCCCCCTCTCGTCGTGAGGAGCAGGAGCATGGGGTTGGGTGGAGTATATCCCATGTTTCCCAAGTCAGAGAGAACCCGGAGGGAGGTATGGTGGTGTAAGTGTAAGTGTAAGTGTAGGTAGGACCTGCCTCGATCCCGTCGCTTATCTCTACTGTAGACAGGGAAAAGTAAGAGAGAACAAAAGAGACAAGAAGAAGGGCAGATTGCAACGTCTCGTCGTGGGGAGAGGACTGACGTAGTCGGGGGCTGGGTACTATGCGGAAGAGGAGGAAGCGCGATTCAGTCGACGGGCTGATCGACGCGCGCCGGGGATCAGTTTACCACTTTTCGGTGTTTGGTCGAGTTGAAGAAGCAAGTGGTTTTTGGGGAAAGTTGGAGAGGGCTCTCCAATGTTCACAACGATGCCCGCGCCTGGGATGCTGTATGCTTTGATGCTCGTCTGGTGACGAATGAAGCTCTTTCTTATCAGACGCGATAGTTACCGACAAGGGCACCAAGCAGGGACAAATGGGATAACATTAAACAGGGGGTTTTTCTATTCCCGAAAGCTCCTAAGTTGAACATTTGTTTTTGGAACACACAAGACTCCAACGTCCCCGAGTTAAATCAACTCTACTGGGTTTGACCACAAACCGACTCATCGACGGGTATTGCGTCATGGGTCGATCAAAACATCCGACTCGGGGAACCGATTACCCAAGACCCCGTCCCGGGTTGCGCGCGGTTTCGCCGTTCTGCCGCTGTTTGCGAAAAGCAACTCGCCCTCCCCCTTCCCGACTTCCCCTTCCCGTGAACGCCAGCAATGCAACCAGACCGCCAGTGAGCTCTACTCCTACTCCCGGGAGAAGAGATGTATAATTTCTGTCGACAGACCAGGCGCCCTTGGCGGGCCTGTCCATCAACAAATGTGACAAAACAAGGAAAAAATGCAAGGCTCGCAATCGTACAAGACTGTGTGTGTGGTTGGTGTGTTGATAGGTGGTGAGGTAAGGTATGGTAATGATATCATGATGCTATTTTGGTGTGAAATCGAGAGGTCGTTTACTTCTGCTCGGCAGCCTTGCGAGCGGCGATGCGACGCTCCTCGGCAGCGACCATGTCTGTTCGAGATGTGTCAGTAAAAGGTTGGCGGGGTACAGGTGCGAGTTCGGTTCGGACTTACCCTTCCACAGGTCCTGACCCTCGTACTCCTCCTTGTGGATCTTCTTCTCGATGAGGTGCTTGTGCTCCGGGTCCTCGGGGTCGATGATCATGACGGTCTCCCAGCGGCCGGAGCCGGTCTTGGCGTCGTTCATCTCGAAGGCGGCGGTGACGACGAGCATGACGACGGCGAGGCCCTGGGCGTAGACACGGGCCTGGACGAGCTTCTGGGCGCCGGAGAGGTACTTGTTGCGGTTGACGAGGGCGAAGGCGACGCCCATGGAGGCGAGCCAGGAGGTGAAGACGATGGAGTACCTGTTCTCGCGGCCCCACGCCACGAACTTCTGCATCGTCGTCTCGTTGGCCCTGGCCTCGGCGACGGCCCGCGCCGTCGCGTCCTGGTAGCCGAACATGGGGTCCTTCTCCTTGCCGAAGAGGATGGAGGCGCGGTCGGCCTGGACGATTGCGCCAAAGGTCGCCGACGAGGTGACGAGGAAGGAGCGGAAGGGGAGGGTCAACGAGCGGAAGGCCTGGTAGCGCCTGGATGCGAGCATGACGCCCGCGAGACCGACGCCGAGACCGAGGGTGCCGCCGATGAGGCCGCCCTTGACGACGACCTTGTAGTGCTCCTCCTCCTCCTCTTTGCTGAGAACCTTCATGTTTGCGGTTTCTGTGGTGTCTCGATGTGTAGGTAGGAAGGTGTTTTATCCAATGCTAGTTGCGAGAGTTGTGAGGAATTGGTCTTAGGTGTGCGCGCGGCTGAGGTTTTTTGGTGTTGTCGGGATTTGGTTGTTGGTCGTGGGGAAGATGATGTCGTACGATACCCCCGGTGACGGATCGATGACGGATCGGGGATTAGCTGGGTATATAGCTCTGGTTGGTTTTCGTTATCGCAAATCAATGACTGCTAGCTCAATGCTGCGGATCTCTGAAGTTTGTTATGAATGAGAAACCTGAGGCTGAGGTTGACAATCAACAAGACCTTATATCAAGAGTCGAATGTTAAAAAATTGACGACGGCCACCGAACGGCGATTGAAAACAGCGCCGCGTGGACGAAAAACCTCGCACCAGACCCAGAATCGTGCCATGAAGTCGAGCTCCGGCATGATGTAATGGACCCTTGCTGCCCGGTCTTTGCCGCCCGGCCGTCGGTGCCTTCCAGCGCCTTACGGCGTTCTCTAGGCGGCCCGTTCAGCGGTCTTCAGTGGACTCTGCGAGAATGCGAACCTCCCAAGCAAACACCGAGAAATTTCCGTCGGATGAGTAAGCTGTAGAGAAGCCACGATGATTGGCCGAACCTCTTGAATCCAGCCTCGAATTGGACGAGGCGACCTGTCACCTGGCTGGCTGCCAGTCTGACCACTTTTGACAGACGATTCCTATTCTCGCCGTTTGGACTGTGTTATGTAATTCAAACGCCGAAAGCCTAACACATTGAACCCATCGCTCGGCGATCATTCAGCTTGCTGAGAAATGCGGCCTCGCCGACTTATGTCCACTGTGGCTTTCGATGACTGCGGTGTCTTCGCTGTTCGGCTCTTGATTCCGTAACGAAGGTTTCCTGAATATTCTCCCGCCGAGAAGGAGCTCCATCTTCCGCGGAGGACCTGTTTCCATCGGCTGAGCCCGTGACGTGTGCCCGGCCCTCGGCAGTCTTCGCCGGCTTCTAGCGGCTGCTATCACTCTTCCAGAAGCCAGTTCGTCGGGTGCACTCAGTTAGGATGCAAATGGGCTGATGTCAGGACTACGCCACTTTCTGGCCGCTGCAGCCCGGTTAGTGTTGCGTTGGAAGATGATTGAGGATGCTTGCTGACCAGCCTCCTACTTGATGGCCGGTTGTTTTGGCAACAGCGGTTTGAATACCAAAGTTCCTGTCAGCTCGTTCTCGCTGCACAATACTGGTTGAGCCGCCGGGTTCGGCCATGTTGCCCGGAAATTGCAAAACTCATTCGGAGTAAAATTTTCCAGCAACTCCCAACGGGCATCGATAGGTGAGACAGGGTCACGATGCGACTCTGTCGGATAAGCAGCTCAGTTCCGTTCGCTATAGAGAACCAGAGTTGTGGTCCGTATTCAGGTGTCCGTATTGCAGCAGAAAGCAACTGAGTTTCCGTTCCGTTGTCGGTGAGAATGTCGGAGAAACAGCGCTTGGAGATGCCCCCCAGTGCTCAGTACTTTGACAACACTTCGCAACCTCAACCCCAAGTTGTATTTCGGATTCAAAATATCCCAAAGCATCAACCCTCTTGGCTGTTGTCGAGACAAAATGCCAGGCGGTGAGCGAAACCTCTCTTGTCACCGCCCAACCCAAATCGCCCAAGTCCAAAACTCTCCAGCGTGGCATCGTGGTCTGCGCGTTGTGTCGGTGCGGAAGTACTGTAGGAGGCGACCTCACCTTACTGCGGTAGGTTCAAGGTAACTCTCGACGAGTTTCGAGTGTCCCTGCGTTTCAGAGCTTCTAGATGCTCAGGGTCCTAGTCATGCAGTCCACCCCAATTCCGTAGAACTTCCACTCCCGATTCAGGGTCCTCGTGGTTATGCACTACACCGCAGTCCTCACCGCTGGTTGGACGATGATTGTGGTACTGCGTACGCATGGCATGGCGTGGCATGGCTTCTCTGCGTCTGTACTTCGTACGCAGTACGCAGTAAACAAGTTCACGGACCAGGTCCAGGTCCCCTATGATTGTGATTAGTGTATCCGTAGGTAGGCCCGTTCCACGGAGTATTGATGAGGTGAGGGGCTGGGTAATCTGGTTGCGCCTCATTCTTCAGCCCGAACCGTCTTCTAGAAACCTTCCACGATCCTTGCTAGGGCCAGGGTCCTCTGCGCTCTCCCGCCATGCCACGTTTGCCCACTGAAGACAAAGGCCGACCCTCTTCGCCAAGTGTGCGCTTTTCCACTCGCAGCTGGCGGGCAACACAAACTTCTCCCAAGACACCCCCAATACAATTTCAGCAAGCCTTCCGAGAAAGGTTGTTTCTTCCAACTGCATCTTTGTCTCGGTGTTTTGTGCGCCATCTCTGGAACTCGCCGACACCTTAAAGCTGCTCTCCTCATCTTCGAGCGTTCCTTCATTTGTCGAATCGTCCGAACTGTTGATCTTGCGGTCTAGGCCTCTCTTGCTGTCTGATTCATGCCTCATGCATCGTCGGCCTATCGTGCGCACAGGCTGCCAGTGTCTGTGGATGATCCCCTGGATTATTGGGCATAGTAAGTCTCTACCCAACACATCGCGTCCTGGAGCTCCATCCTGGGTGAACCTTGGCCAAGTCCTCATAGATCGGGTGCCGCCGAGTCATTTGCCCGGTCCGAGTCCGGCGTTGAAGCAATTACGTATTGTCCACCTACTTTGCCTCTAGTGCGGGTGCGGTGTAAGTGTTGAGGGTCAAGTCGCGCCAATCCCGAAAGTAGAGGATCCATCAAGCTATGCACATCAGTTGTTTTAAACAGCCGAGAGGATAGAATGCTGAAACCGAGGCAGTGTTCAGAGACGTCCAAGTATAGCGTACAATGAATTCCGTTACTCGTATGAAGTCATAGAGAGATCAGCGCTGGACGCGACTGCTTCGGAGCCACTGGCCATGTACTGTTAGCCAAGGGCAGCCTGACAACCTTCGGTGCTTCGTAGTACCGGTAATGGAGGGCTCTTAGGCCAATGCAGCTAGAGAGTCAAAGGGCCACAAGGCTCAGCGACGTTGCGGTACAAAATATGATTGCGTATCCGTACAATAATCTGCCAAGGGGACAACGATCATTTCGTATGCGGAACCGCAAAATCCACAGGTGGGTTGGTGAAGAGTGATGGACGGCATGCTATGCAGTATCGAGATTGCGGCATTTCAGGCGAATCCCCGCTGCGGTGCCTGGCTTCGATGTCTTGGACCGCGACGGCGCCGAACGGTGGACAAACGCTGACATTACCGTTGCCGTCTCCGCGATCTCGGCCGGGAGGTTGATCAAGTGTAACACGAGCATTGGGGGCTCCGGGCCTGCGGGGTGTTGAGTGGGTGGTGGTATCAGTGTTAGTGGCTCGCTTGCCACGCCCGCGTAGGTCTGGAGGTGCTTTGTTGTAACGGCTGACAGGGTCGGGGAGACGATAAAGGGGAAACCGATGTTGTTGATAGACATGATCTTCTTGAAAGTGTTCCAACATTTGCGTCCAGCAAGGCCATCACATGCAGGATGCAGTCAGTTGTGGGGCATCTCGTTGTGAATCCGAAATGGGTAGAAGCTTGGTGGATGTGTTCGAGATCGAGCTTCCAACCCAAGATCGCACAGAGATCCGGTATCTCGCTGGCACGACGTTGGATCCCACGTCGCACTTCAAAGACAACAAGCGAGTCAATCCCCTGGAGATCTACAGCTCTGGTGGTCCACTGTTGTGCACCATGTTTCTTGTCGAGTTGATGTAGACTCAGAAAAACATGGCAGAAAAGGTGGTCCAACACTTGGAATGGCAGGCGTTGCAGGTTGAGAGAAAGTTGCTGTTGTGTCTTAAGCGAGGTCCATCCTCTCCATCAGTGAACTGCGAGCATGGGACGTGATCCATGGCTTGTCGGACGAGGAAGTGATTTACCGAGAATGAGGGCCGTTTGCAACGGGGGTGACGGCCATCTCATTCCTATGAAGGAAGGCCAGAAGGGATCTGTTTGTCGTTCCTCGCTTCACGCGGCTGAGAAACAAATCCGGTCACTCTAGGGTACGGCCTGCTCCAAGATTTCCTGGGCCTGTACTCCGTGACTTTGCGGGTGGGATAATAAAATGCCTCGGTCTTTCAAAGTAACGAGCCCAGATGGGTTCTGCAGCAAATGGACCAGAGGAGTAGGCGTATACAAGCGGACATGCTGTCGCTCCTAGGTCGTGAAGCCACGGCATGTAATGCGTCTGTCCGTGAGATGATTTGCGCCCTACACCGCCTTTCAACGGTATGGCGACGAGAGGGTTCCGCGCTGCGGCTGCGCATGCATCTGGTCTGGCTGCTGCGTCGCTTCTCCTGATGCTTTCAGGTTTAATTCCGCGCTTCCTGCTTCCTGAGCCAAAATTATCCATTGTTGTCGACGAGCAAGTCCGTTGGCGGCGTGCCTAGTCGCCAGTTTCTGCCAGCCATCGCTAGTGTCCATGTCCCTGAGGAGTAAAGTGTCAAGTGCCTCACGCAGCCCACCCATGCGATGGTGATTTCATCCGGAGCGGGAGCGAACTCTGGGAATAGCGGCAGGGTGTGCACTGCGAGCGTTAGGCTCGTTTTAGTTGTTGCGACTAGCAAGGATGGGGATGAAAGGTAGACGCCTGGCACCCCGAAGTTGGCCTTGGCTGCGCTTTTGGGGTGCCAATGTCGAGGCTGTCATTCGTCGCGGTTGGAGTAGAGCGGCATAGGAGGGTGGGGGTTGTTCTTCTGCTCCGCTTCTGCAGGTCTTCGCTGCACCGTGTTCCCATCGTTCCATCGCCTCCACCGTATCCGTGAGGAATGGTGGTGACTGGTAAGGCAGGGCAAGGTGGTCGACATGGTCAAACCCACAGCTCCCAAGCCAAAATGATCAGACCGCTTTCCTCACTGCAGCCACCGCGGTTGGAGAGACCCTGTTTCTGCCACATTCTTCTCCGACATGCCCTTCTTGGGGGCTTTTTGGCATGGGTGCGACATCTTGAGCTCGCCCTTGCGTCCGCCAACCGTCATCGTTTGCAAGACTTTCGTTTGTCCCGGAGCTATCCCCCGATAGATGTACGAATAGCCGTTGTGATGAGACGGGCTAGTTGTGATGGACGGGAACTCCGCACTTGGATTCTTGATCTTGGTGCACGATGCCTCGGGAGTCGGGACGTGTTGTCGCCTCGGTTGGCGACTATATGCGCCTGCCACCCAGTGACATGCCGTGTTTGTTCGCCTTGGGCCAGAAATAATCCGAAGTACTATTATCCCTTTGACGGTCAATCACCGAAGACGGATGGCGGCCGGTGAGCGCCATACACTCGCCATGGAGCATGGGTTGGCTAACAAAAGCCATGCAGGCCTGCCCCCGACACTAGATGTCCGGTTATGAGTCAAGCATGGAGGCGTCGATGCGGTTGTGCGGCAGCCTTGTCCAGTCATGTTATGGAACATGCATCCGTCGGTACCGTCGGATCCACCAAAGCAGAGGAAATACTGGGCAACTTCGTGGCTCGCTGACGTTCGAAATTCGTTTCTCTGCAACCCTACTGCCAGCCGGAATTCTGGTCTAAGGTTTATTGAGGTCATTCTTGGCCGCGGGTCGCTGGCGTGCAAAGAAACCAGAGGAAATCAAGTCCAAGATGCGCTTGTCGACGGGGACATGGTGGATGATGGGACGACCCCAGTGATTGGATTGCGCGTGGTGACGTCCCTGCGGGCATGGCCAGTGGTCGATCAGTTGCAAGACAGTGCCAGCCTCCCACTCCCAACTTGCAGCTGAGGCCAGTTCGGGCTTGAGGAGGGATTGACAACGCATCCAACCTCTCGGATTGCTTCAACTCTCATTGTGCAGCGCTGCGGGCAACTCGAAGCAGGCGGGTTCGCGTGTCCATGATTGGCAATCTGGATCGGGCCAGTGCTTGACATGTTGGTCTTGAGGAGGTGAGAGGTGATGGAATGATCCCGTCTTCAGGTACGTACTGTATTCGTCGGAAATACTGATCACTGATCTGTACTGGAATTGTAGGCGTAGTTTATTAGTGTAGTGTACCATTAGGCGGTGGGCGAGGGCTGCGTGGAGCTGCCTTGTAAGTGAATCGAGGGACACGGTTCGTCAAGTACCTTGACCATGTCCAGACCCGGCGGACGTCTCCAAGATACTGGGTCGATCACGTAACGGTTTGGATCGCTCCGTCCCCTGTGCCTGAGTTTCCCCTCCGCCGCATGGGAAATCGATCTCCTCTCAGCCGTCTGTCTCCTGTTAAAATGTCAGGGGAGGAGAATCAGAATTGGGAAAGCTGGGCGTCGGTGGGAACAGCGGAAAATGATGGTGGATGTGATTGTGTTTGATATGAAGCGTGTAAGTCGCTACGCCGGGCCAGCTGTGACAGAGGTAGGCACACCCTCGCCAGGCGGGTGTCTCAAGGGGGTAACCAAGGGACCTTTTTTGGGGGGCCGTCTGGGATGGTGCCGGTACTTGGGGACGGACGCGGCTGACGGTGAGGTGCCCTGTGGACTGGACTGGACTGGACTGTGGCGAAAAGCAGAAGCAGGAGCAGAAGCAGATCCAGGAACGGGTTCGATGCGACGTACGACCTGCCACCTGCTTCTTGATGGGGTTGGCGGTGAGGTTGTGAGTGGGTGGGTGGCAGTTGTTGTGAGGTTGGAGGTTGGAGATTGGAGATTGGAGGTCGACGGTACCTGCCCAAGGTAAGAGGCATGAATGATGGACCTGAGGCTGTTTCTTTTTTTCTTATTTTTGCTGTCACAGGCGTTGCAATTACTGGCTGTAGCATTGCGGATATTCGCCAAAATACGTAACGGCTCCCGTATCCGCCACAGGCAGGTCCTCGTCTTGGTTAATTAGGGTAGGTAGATTTCCATGAGCAGCATCGTACCTTACGGAATCAGCTGGCTCTCCGTCAGAATTGCTTCTTCCTCCCGGGTTCTGCTGGTCCCTTGAAAGTCGGGCGTGCTTGGGATCTGGGGGAAGTCGAGTCGAATCGAGTCGGGTCGAGTCTAAGGTAGGTAGGTAGGTAGGTAGGTAATTAGTTGCAGTTCCAATCCAGTGCAGGCGCAGGCGCAGACGCAGTCGTTGCTTCTTTCTCATCTGTTGTTCCTTCTTTTGGAGTGGATAGTGCCATGCTAATGCTTGCCTCGACTGAGATCCCCTGCTCCTGCCCTGTCTTGCCTTGCCTTACAGTGCTTACGTTACCTATTCGCAGTTTCTCATTCGTCAAGATCGGCAGCCGCCCCGGAGCGCGCTTGCCTGCCAGCTCCCGTGCCACCGTGACCGTGACCGTGACCGTCGTGACCGTGCTTTCCTGCCTCTGCCTCTCCTTCCTGTCGTCGTCGCCGCCTCCGTCGTTCATGCGGAGTAGGAGCGCTACTACCTGCACTCTGAGAGGGAAGGCGCATGCCATCCAGGGTTGGCAAGGCGTGGGCGCGGATATCCGTACCTACCCTACCCTGCTCCTGCCCACGTTGTTCGTTGTTCTTGCCGGGCCATTTAATTAATGGAAAGGAAAGTACTATGTGACAAGTACCTCCTTATCCGTACTGCTCTGATGTCAGTGTCAAGTTTACTTCCATTCTTGACTACTATTGCCTGCTGCCTCCTGCCTCGTCCAACTATCCGTATGCCCCGGGTTAGAATGGAATGGCAGACGCGGATACCAAACGCCATGAACTTTAGTTTCTTTCCAATGTCTTGGCCGTCTCTACTGTTTGCCTTTGCCTTCGAGTCGAGTCACACACGCGCCTTGGTTAAGAGTCACTGGCCGTTAAGGTGTGTGTCTGTGTGGCGGCCACTCGACCGTCTTTCCCTTCCGTCCCGTCATCCATACCTCTTTCCTCTGGATCAGGTCTGGAGGTTTGAATTGTTGGAGACCACTAGTAATAGCAGCCTGACCCAGCCCAGCCTACAGCCTGGTGCCAGTCCTCTCTCTGTCCTGCTTAATGGGCTGGATAGGTATCATGGCAAGCTGGTCCTTCTTTTAGGGACAGCCAATCTGTATTATCGCCTTCCACTGAGCAGACCAGGACCTGCACCTCAAATAATAGACACTTTGATCTTCCTGTCCATGATGGCCATGCCTTACCTCACATCGAATACCTACGTGCAAACAGTACCGTACCTGCCGCTTCCCTAAGGTACCTTGCCTTCCCTTCCCTTCCCACCCTCCTTTAAGACTCCAACACCCCAGACTTCGGCCGAGCTCTGCCTTACGGATACCCTTCTCATCTTCGACCGATTAATGGAACCTTGAGCCCGGACTCGTTGGACAGTTGCAGGTACTTTGACACTGGGTCAACCTGGATCTGATGTTGAGTCGAGTCAACACACGCATACAGTTCACACATCTCCAGCTCCAGCTCCATCCATAACATACCAAGTACTGCCCATCTTCTCCTTCTTAACCCCTTCCCCCTCCACTGTTCTGGCTTCATATCCAATCTCCCTCCTCTTCGAAGCTTGTCTCGTTCCAACATTTATACTCCTGCTCGACCCTTCTTCGACGACACAACACTGTCTTCCTCGTCAGAACGCCTTCACCCGCGGCATATCAACACCGCTACAAGCATCCACATCACACTCGACCTGGTGCTCGCTATAAGACGACCACTTATAATCAAAACAAACAACAACGATACCGCCTCCCCAGTACCAGAGGAATACGTCTTCTTTCTGGTTCGTCTCGAAAGGCAACACTCGATGGTTCATTTCCATCTCGTCAAGACGAATCTCGCAGAAGAACCAGGCGAATTATCGGTCGCAACTCCCGGAGAGCATCCTCTTCCCGTCGTCATCATTACCGCCGCCGGCCGGATCTAGATCCAGATTATTCGTTTCTACCTCGGCGACCACAAAATCCCGTACGGCTTGCGTACCTCAGTTGCGTTCGCCCCTTGGCTGAGAAATCGCCTCCGTCGTCCTTGGACCCGAATCTACTGGTCATTACCAATAACGGCGCCGTCGCTGTCACTGTCGTCGACTCAACACCTAGTCCTCGCTCGGCCCCCAGCCCGCCCACCTTTATTTGCCTCCCTGGTCTGGTCGCCCACGGCTGCGCTGAACCATCAACCACCAGCTGTCTTGGTACCTGGATTGTTATTGCCCCAAGGTACATACTTTGCCAGGCAGAATACCTTACAGAGTATAAGGCGCCCTGCCTTACCTTAACTTACTCCAATAACCAAACGGGTTGCACCACAGCCAATTCGGCTTCCCCCCAGCATCTCGACCACCAGACACTTACAAATAATATAAGACTCGACCGACACTCAAGCACACACACACAACACACACAAAGACGCAAAAACAACAATTCACAAACGGGAAAATTACACCCCTCCCCCCTCTTTTTTTTCTCCCCTCTGGGATCTTTTTTTGCGGCGGCATCAATCACTAGTCGAGACGCGGACTCGATCTCCTTTTTCGGGGCACATCCGCCGGCTGCAGCAAGTGGCCCGATTTAATAATTACCCACAAAAAGGGTCGAGAAACGTTCTGGGTGCCACGGTCCCCTACCTAACCCAATACAACGGCTACCTCCAGCTGACATGAGGAGCGCCTTTCGCTGGTTCAACCCATCAAGTACCGAGGACCCAAGGGACCCGTCGACCCGGTCCACTACCACCACCGCCGCCGCCGCCGCCCACAACAGCGAAGACAGGCGCACCTGCACACCCAGCAGAGGTGACTGCGCCAGCGCCGATAATATTAGTTATCGTGCGTCGGCCTTCTCGTCTGCTTCTGACAACGCCTTCGCTTCTCCTTCACCAGGTTCCTCCAACTCAACCTCTCTCACCCCCAACTCGCCCTCCCCTCAACCACTCACGCCTACCGACTCTTTCGACGTGCGTGATTCTCGTGCAGGCCTCTGGTCGACCAAGCCAATCACCATTGCCACACCCACAAGAGACCCTTCGCTGTCGTCCGCCTCCCCCTCTATTATCCCCGCCAAGTCCAGCTTCGATAGGAATCCCTTCGAGTTGCCCGACGATCTCCTCGACTTCCCTCCCATTCCGACAAAGAGCATCGATATGACCACTGGCCCTGCCATGGATTCGGCCATGGGTCGGAGTCGTCAGGACTCCTTTGTCAGCGCAGGTCCCAAGCCTATTTCTATGGCCAACCCCAATCGTGACCATGTCAATCGCCAACGTCGCGAAAGTCTCGCAGGCAGCCTGATGGGCGGCGCCAGCTGGGGAGGAATGTCCTTCGGCAGCTTTATTCGCGATGAGTATGTCCGCCCCGCATTTACCGTTTCTTGAAATGCGTCTTTGCCTTCAAGACCAAGACATTCTTCGGTGGCGCTGCACCGACGTTTACCGTTGATGCCGGCGTCGCAGAAACCCCACGCAAGAAACTCATGTGCTGACTTTGTATACGCTAGTATTGCTATGGCAGGCACCTCGCCTTTCGCCCATCAAGCGTCACCATCCTTCCACTCCGGATCCTACTTGCCCAAGCTCGAGGCCAGCTTCATGAAAGACTTCACCTGCTGCGGCCTTAACCTGCCCAATCTCCACGATCTTCTGCAGCACTATGAGGAAGCACACACCCAACCGAGCCCGAATACTGCGCGCAACGCGCCATTTTCGTCCCAGTATGCCGCGATCCCTACCCAACCGTCGTCTAGAGCCACCAGTGTTAGGCCACAGACGCAACAGCAGAATACGGCTTCCCTGTCGCAACTCGGCCAGCAGAGTCGCCCGGGGTCTAACCTCGGCGGCGGCATGAGCGGTCTCGGGATGCAGCTTGGTCAGCAACATATGGCTGGGCAGCAGCACCACCAATTTGACGACTTGGACCCCGTTGCCGACATGGAGATGGACGATGCACTTGGAAACATGGAAATGGACGACAGCCAGAGAACCATGTCCCAAACCCGCCAGATGTTTGGCCAACAACAAAAACCGCAGCTGCATGTTAACGCCTCGGGCCTCACTCAGGGACTTCGTACATCCCAGCCACCGACTCCTGCAGCCGCGAGCTTTGGTCTTCAGCACAACCCGACGGTTTCTTCGGTTAACACGCCCACGCTTACGACCCAGCAAACACCCCAGCAGCAACGGTCGAACAACGGATTCCTCCAGAACTCTCAAATGCAGTCTATGGACGACATGGACGACATGGACGAGGATCTTCCTGGTATGCCCATGGGCGGCAACATGGAGCTGAACGGATCAAACTTTGGGGATTCGAACTTTGGCAACTCCAACTCAAACCCCGAGTTCTGCATCAATGATCCCGGCAAGCACCTCTTCAGCCCTGGCGGTGCTCTCTCCAACCAACAGCGGGCAATCCAGCAACACCTCATCGGAATGGGCTTCGATCCTAGCCAGCCCAACAGTCCCGCCAACAAGGCCCTCATGCAGAAGTTCGGCGCAATGATGATTCCCGAGGAGCACAAGCCCTTCAAGTGTCCCGTCATCGGTTGCGAGAAGGCATACAAGAACCAGAACGGCCTGAAGTAAGTTTCCAGTGGCTTCGTTGGCGTGAAACTTGTGGCTGACATGACTCACACAGGTACCACAAAACTCACGGCCATCAGACGCAACAACTGCACGAAAATGGCGACGGAACTTTCTCCATCGTGAACCCCGAAACCAGCGCGCCGTACCCTGGCACGCTCGGAATGGAAAAGGAGAAGCCGTTTTCTTGCGAAGTGTGTGGCAAGCGCTACAAAAACCTCAACGGTCTCAAATACGTTAGTTCAGCCCCATTCCCGAAATCGCAAGATGCCGAGGCTGACCCGAAGCACAGCACAAAGGACATTCCGCACCGTGCAACCCTGACTTCAAGTTTCTGGCTGCGGGGCTCAATAACCTCGCTACCCTACCGGGTCTCATGGAGAATTCCATGTCCAACCTTCCCGGGATTGGTGAAGACCAGATGATGTAGGAAGCCATTTGGGGTCACCGTTCTCCCCTGGAATCCCAATCCCACGTGGCATTGGACACTTTGCCAAGACCTAGGCGCGACTGAACACTCAGCAACGCACCGAACCGGGTCTTGGGAGCCGCCGACCAGAACATCTTTGCCACAGAATTGGGTTGCGGCATTTCGCGCGGCGTTTGATTGTTTTTGCGGACGCTTTTCAGCCCGATTATCAGGTCGACCGAGTCTGCTCTTATCCGTTTTATACCCTCATAGACTTACCAGCAACGTTTCTTTTTGCGACTGGCTACGATACACACCTCCCCTCTAGAAATAATTCATACCCTCGGCGACGAAGTTGGAGATAGACGATCACGGGCAGTAGGGTGGACGCACCGTCGTTGTTTTGTTTCGCACCCTCCTTACTCTTCTTTGTCAATAGTTGACAGCCTCGCGTCGGGGTGTCTCTACTTTTTGGCCCTTTTTCTGCCGTTGGGTTTAGCAGGCGGGCGGCCTAGGGTCTTGATGTGGAAGCACAGGATGCTGTCCACAAATTACGATACACACTAAAAAGACCAGCGGGGGGAAAAAAGGCGAACAAAAAGGACCTATCAGGGAAAACGCAGATATGTCTGGCCTCAAGGTCTTTTGTACGAGTTTGGACTACGAAAAGAAAATGATCAGGATGGTTGTCGTTGTTTACCCGAGAGGAAAAAATGTGGTTTTCGGTGGTTTATCTGGGATGGTGGCCGTGTCTCCTCTCTACCTCTCCCCTCGGCAGCGATTTGGGGGCTTACGCGCGGAAAGCGAAGTTGGTTGATGAATGCGTACATGTAGGCGTTGCTCATGGGCGGTACTGGCTGGGAAAAGTTGAAGTTGCTTTGTTTGAAAATCCTCGTTGGCACAAAAATAGACTGAATGGATCGAGTTTACGTATAAATCTTTGCCTTCTTTTTTTTTTAATTTGATGTATGGGATATCTCGTCTAACAAACCTCCCAACTCCAAGGTACCATACCGTTCCGAAAAAGCGAGAAAGCGATAACGTATGTAGACCCGACACCAGCAAATGCGGAAAGAATACTCAGTGCGCCTCCTCCCCAGTTCCTCCTCCTGCGTTAAAACATCCCATCGTTATCTGTAAGCCGTGATTTCCCAAGTCAAGGAGTTAAAGTATGCTCCTGGACGCTGCCAGTTCCAAACACACGAGCCGGTGATGAGCATGCGGAATGCTCAGCCGCGGTGTAGAGGATCAACTCATCTCCATGCCGTCGTCGTCGTCAACGTCAACTTCGCTCTCGTGTAGCTGAGTGTGGTTGCTGCTGACACTCTCCTTACGACTGACAATCGAGCAGCCGTCCCCAAATCGCGAGCCGGCCAGAGCGCCGACGTACTCGAGCTCGTCACCGCCAACAACGCGTCCTTCCATGTCAATCTCTTGAGACAACTCCACCAGCGCTGTCCGTGGCAGGCGAAGGAAGCCTTGGGTTCGAACAATCCGGCCCCAATGTAGGAGACAGAACTGCGCTGCACGCTTGCGCAGCCAATCCTCGCTCGCCAGGCCAGCGCAGTGCCAGATGATGCAAGCGTGGTCAACGTCCAGTTCCTTGGAAAGCCGGTTGACACAGAGCAGTCGAAGATGAGGGATACCGTAGATGTTGGACATGACGAGAAGTCCAGCCACGTCGGATAGCTCGGTGGTGGCACCGCTCTCGTTTACCGACGTTCCGTGGATGCTATCTGTGTAGAGATAGTAAAGGAAGGCTTTTACGACACTATATGGCTCTGGAATGTGCATCTTCTTCGTGTGGAATTCGGCCATCTGGGAGCTATAAAGTCGGGCAAAGTGCGGCCAGCGGGCTTGAAGAATAAGCTTGTGGACGTGAATCGGCGGTGATGTAGGCGCGTCAGGGGACAGCCAGTTGTGATCTGTTGAAGCATTGACGTTCCGGCTCATCATGTCATCGTCTTCGTAGTCGCCCTCCGAGGCAGTGATCACGAAGTCAGTACCGCTACCAGTCTCAGGCGGTTGATCGAACAGTTTGGCCAGATCAGATCCGAGTCCCTTAGAAGGCTGGTCAATGACTCTAGCGGTTGGCCTTGATTCTGTGCGCGGCTCTGGTGACAGGTTGTTGCCAAGGAATCCGTATCGACGGAGGTCGATTTCCATGATGTCGCTATAAGCAGTCAGCATGCCACCCGAAACTTGACGGTTTGGAAGCCTTACCTCAGGTATTCTTCAAATCCATTAGGTCCAAGGTCAGATGCGGCAGGATCGGTGGGACATCCAAGTAGCCATGCTTTGGTACCATCCTCATTCATCGTACAGTAGTGCCAACGGTAACCGGACTTGAAAATTTCTCGACCTTCCGCGAGCTTCTGCCATCTGAGCGTTGCCAGGTCCAGTGCTGAGAGAGAACACTCCTTAGATGTAATGGTCGCCGCTGGCGTCACAAAGTCAAGCAAGGTGCCGGACGAGTAAACATGGAAGTGAATTCCAGAGCCCTGGGAAGGTATGTGGGGACCAGACACGAACTTCAGAGACGAGATCGTACCAGGCGCCATGGGGGCAAACGTCTTAAGCTGGAATGACGGCGGGTTAACCTGTTGGGTCCGAGAATTGGCGGCGTAGCCGGAAGTGCCAACTGCCGGTGGCGGATGCGACAGCGCGTACGGTTGTCTTGGAGAGCCGACTGTCCGGCTGGTGCCAGTTTGGCGATCAAAGATGCCGACTTGAGGGGAAGACTCAAAAGCCGGGCTTCCCTTCAGGTCCAACCACCATAGATCTCCAATCTTGTCCATATCCTCGGACAGCCCTCCAAAGACCCAAACACGATCTCCCCAGATGTATGCAGAATGGTCAAATCGTCCTACGAAACGCCAGGATCGGGACCAGGTGAAAGTCTTGAGGTCGAGGTAGCAGATATCATCGAGAACATAATTGTCGTGGCCCGTGATACCCCCCACGATGAAAAGCTTGTCTTCGTGCAGCACCGCGGCATGTCTTGCTCGGCCTTTCGGCACCGGTCCTGTAACTTGTGGCTGCGTCCAATGTGCGGTTTTCAGGTCGAACATGATGAGGTCGGACAAGTAGGTTCGATGTTCGTTCTCGCCGCCAAAAACGAGGAGTTTGTCGCCTTGGTAGAGGGTAGCCGTGTGACCTGAATATTGATTAGAAGGCGCATGGAAGACGGGTTCGAGGAGCGCAAATGCTTACCCATACGCACGCCGGGGATATCACCGTAATTGTCTACCAGGCTCCATTGATGGCTAACCAGATCCAACTTGAGGACATGATTATACACCTCATCAGTGTATTGATCGAAGCCTCCGAAGGCGTATATGTGGTTGTTGCCGCAGTAAGTGACGGAGGCATTAACGAGACAAGCGGGCCGCTGGCCTAAGGTTCTTGTGACCCTTGGGCGATAGCCGTCTAGGGTGCCTCTGTTCTTGATGGGGGAGTTGGGCATGATGTAGGTATTGTTGCTCGATGCTGCCGACCCCGGAGTCTGATCCACGGGAGAAGGCGTGGGTTGTTGTGCCGGCGTAGAGGATGACGGGGCTGGCAGAGCCTGGCTCGTAGGCACTCCGAAAAGGGATTGCGACAGGGGCCCCGGGGTTCCTGGTTGAGGCTGCGGCTGAGCCATAATGTGCAGGCAGAGCGAGTTCGTGGTCGATGTCAATGAACCATTTCAATCGTGAGTCGCAAAAGAGGTCTGTCGAGGATGGGATTGGAAAATGAGAGGTCGGGCGGCGAAAATTGCGAATGGACGAGGCAGGGCGCACGACTCAGTACCGATGTTGCACAGGATGCAGGAGTTGGCAGTGCAGCGCAAACACAATTTTCGAGGCAAGAGTAAAGTATGGGTAGGAGTATCCGTAGAGACAGGCGATAACGAGATGAGGCTCGCCGTCGCACACTGCGATGGTGGAGTACCAACGTTCCTGCATTGACAATCCGAGGCCGCTTAATTTGGGCAATCACGGGCCAGTCTCCTCCTCTCCACTGTTCACAGCCAAGGGCGGCAAGGCGGGCAGACCGGACACTGAGTACCCACGGTGCCTACGGTGTCCACGTCTGCAGTGTCCCATCCACGCCGTCTACGGGTCCGTGTCTGTCGTGGCAACTGCCAGGCCCTGCTCCTGCAATTGGCTGACTGCTGCCGCACGAGTTGCACGTGACTGCCTTCCAAGTTGTTCGTAAGGTATCTCTGTGAGTGCCTTGTGGCTCTCCAGGATTCGCTGACAGTGAACCGCACTACCGTCTGAAGACTACCTATCTTATAAGGTAGGTACCTAAGGTTGGAGTCCTCTAAATTTCCCACGGGTGTCGGACTGTGTTGCTTCCCTAGATGGCCGCCACGAATACTCCGCGGACGGCGACGAAAGAAGACGACGGCAACAGCGACAGTGACAACGACAGTGACAACGACAGTGACAACGACAATTTAAATATCTTATCGATAAGGGGCGGCGTTCTTCCTTCCAGGTGTGGTGTCGGGTGTGCATCCCTTCCCTCCCAGGGAAAGTGGCCCCACCCGACGTCAGCTCGTCGCCTGGTCCGAGCGTCGTTCGTTGCCCGGCCGCAACAATGGTGGGGCACAAAGTAAATAAAAGAAGTCGAGAGCTCCTGTCCAGCTTCGAGGCTTCTTTTCTCTGTATCAAACCTCATCACCTCGCTCTCCTCCTCAAACCTCTTGAACCTCTCTCACCAAGCTTTTGAGCTTGGCCCATCTCTCTATCAAAGCCTTCACAAGAACCATCAAGTCTGCTAGATCTCATCGCTGCTCTCAGCCATCTGATCGCCCCCTCGACTTCGAGCCCTTCTTCGCGACGGCACCTCTTCGATTTTCGAACAGTACAACAACGACAGAATACTAACCAACAAACAATATTCCAGGAACCTTTAGCTAGAGTCTCTTGGAGCTCGTTCGACATTCGGAGCTCTCTCACTCATCCCTCTTCCTTCGACGCACTAGATTGCAATCGTTGGAGATTTCACACCTCGTTGGTACATCAATCCACATCCTGTACTCAACATGGCCACCGCATCAGTATCGACTCCTATCAAGTCCCACAAGGGGCTCTTTTCTTCCCGCACCGCCGGCGGTCGCATGCCCCTCACCCCTTCCCCCCGTCAGCACTCGACTTCCATCTCCGCCAACTTGAACTCTTCACCCTTCACCCCCGAGAGGCAGTCGAGCAACGACACGTACCGCCCAGCTGCCAAGTCAACCTACGGCAGCAACTTGACAGCACACCTTGCCAGATCCACCAACAAGAAGTCCTCTCACCGCGACTCTCCCAAGTCCAACATTGCCAGAGGCGTCTCTACCCCTCGCAAGGCTCTGGAGCTTGGTGTGTCCGACTTCACCTTGACCAGCACCAGCACCAAGACTCCTTCCAGCTCCAAGCCCAAGAAGGCCTCTATCAGGCAAAAGACCGCCAAGACCACCGTCAACTATGGCGCCGATAGATTCATTCCCAACCGTGGCGCCAGCTCTGCCATCGCCAACGCTGGAAGCAGCAAGCTGGACAGGGCCGAGAAGAAGTCCAAGGTTAGCACTAGCGAGGCTTCCAACGTTTTGTCTTCTGCCACCGATGATGCTATTGCAGCCCTGGAGGGCCTTAACATCGAAGACGAGGAGCCTGCCAGCTACTCCCGCCCTTCTCCCAACACCGTCGCCTACCAAGACTCACTTGCCAACGCCTGCGGTGTCAGCCTCAACACCCGCATTCTTCAATTCAAGCCTGCGCCCCCCGAGTCCTCCAAGCCGATCGATCTCCGCCAGCAGTACAACCGTCCTCTCAAGCCTGCGACCTCCACCTCGGCCCAGTTCCGCCGTCGTGTTGCTACTGCTCCGGAGCGTGTCCTTGATGCCCCTGGTCTCATCGACGACTACTACCTCAACCTTCTCGACTGGAGCTCTGGCAACCAGGTTGCCATTGGCCTCGAGCGCAACGTCTACGTCTGGTCTGCTGATGAGGGCAGTGTCAGCTGTCTTCTTGAGACCCCCGCCGACACCTACGTTAGCAGTGTCAAGTGGTCCGGCGATGGTGCCTACGTCAGTGTTGGACTTGGTACTGGTGAAGTTCAGATTTGGGACGTCGCAGAGGCCCAGAAGGTCCGAAGCATGTTTGGCCACGACACCCGCGTTGGCGTGATGGGCTGGAACAAGCACCTCCTCTCCACCGGCGCCCGCAGTGGTCTCGTCTACAACCACGATGTCCGTATTGCGGAGCACAAGGTTGCAGAACTCGTCTCCCACACTTCCGAGGTCTGTGGCCTTGAGTGGCGCTCCGATGGTGCTCAGCTTGCTACTGGTGGCAACGACAACCTTGTCTCCATCTGGGACGCTCGCTCCCTCTCCGTCCCCAAGTTCACCAAGACGAACCACAAGGCTGCCGTCAAGGCGCTCGCATGGTGCCCGTGGAACATGAACCTGCTCGCCACGGGTGGTGGTTCGTACGATCGCCACATCCACTTCTGGAACTCCACCTCAGGCGCTCGCGTCAACAGCATCGATACCGGCTCGCAGGTCACTAGTCTTCGATGGAGCCCTCACTACCGTGAGATTGTCAGCTCCAGTGGCTTCCCCGACAACTCGCTCAGCATCTGGAGCTACCCCACGCTGGTTCGCAATGTTGAGATTCCTGCGCACGAGAGCAGAGTCCTGCACAGCTGCCTCAGCCCTGACGGTCAGATGCTCGCTACCGCAGGTGAGTAACGCATGATTTTTCCACTGTTTCCAGTAATACATACTGACTTTGGCCACGTAGCTGCCGACGAGAGTCTGAAGTTCTGGAAGGTGTTCGAGAAGAAGGCGGGAGCTGGCGCCGGTGTCGGTAGCAGCAGCTCTTCGGCCAAGGCGGACATGGTCAAGCAGATGACCATCCGGTAAACGTCTCAAATGACCAAGCCTGGCGAATGTCGGTTCAACGACGTCAACAAATGTAGGTATATTTCCCTCTGACATTTGTCGGTCATGGGTTCCCGGCGGTTGGGGTTCATCTTCAGCGAGGAGTTTGGGTTTTGTCGCAACCGACTCTGCGTGGTACGAAAGAGCTTCTCCACGATGGGATATGAAATTGCTTGGTCACGAATAACGGCAGACGATACCATTGATTTCTGTTTGGCACCGGGAAGCATTTGTAATTTTTATTCAAGGAATACTGTACGGGTTACGGATACGTACTTGCGTGTCAGAGATAGACGGCAGCAGTTAAGTGACAAGATGCCGCTCTCAATAAAGGAAAAACTCGATTTAAATACCCCTTTCAACGCGTCGTGATTGCCTCGGTTTCTAGATACTTGGGTAAGAAACGGCAGGGGCCTAGTTACGAGGGTCCCTCCTTCCCCCGCATTCCCGCGAGCCCTTGCAGCTGCCTTTCTTATCGCGTTATCGGTCTTTTTTTAAATGGGGCCTCGGGTGATCCTCAGCCTTCCGCTGCCCACCTGAGCTGACTAATGACCAACAAGCCCACCTTGCTTCAACGTCAACAGGAATCTACCGGACAAAGCCAACCTTGACCCATACACATCACCAGCGGAAAACGGGCCCCGGCAAGATCCTCTGCCACCACCTAAAGCACAACGACTCCGGCCAGATATTTCTACGCAGATAGAAACATCGCCCTTGCAGTTGCCTATTTCTGCGAGCGCGTGCCATTCTGGGCAGCGACAGTGGTGGATTAGGCAGGCGATTTATCATCCATCGGCAATCTAGCGACTTCCTCCTCTGGTGGGCGCGACCAACCAGTCACGACGGTGCTTGAGCTACTTCGACAACAAATACCTTCCCGACCCGAAAAGAAAAAAAACCCTCACTGCGGGAGACACTGCGTTTAGAAAACAAAAGCGACCCAGCGGCTACTCGATCGATCATCGCGACAAATCAGTCTTAACAGAGGCAAGGTCCATTTCGAACGCAGCCATCTACGAAAACTTAGCGGCAACAACCTATTGGCCGTCGCCACCATGTCCAACAACGCCGTCGGAAACGTCTATGACAACATCATCACCGAAGTCATCAATTCTTCGCGTGTCGATTTCGAGGAAGGAGGTGTTGACGAGTCTGTGCTCGAGGAACTGAAGAAGGGCTGGCAGGAAAAGCTCTCTCAACTCGAGGTAGCCAGCTTCCCATGGGATCCTAAGCCGGATGCAGCGCCGCCCGCAGCTCCTCAACCCGCGCCCGTCCAGCAGCCGCCGCCCCAAGCAGCCCCGTACTCCCAAGCTCAGCTCAGTCCTCAGCCACCTCTGCCCGGCGTGCCGCTTCCCGGACCCCAGGTCGGCCAACCTGCCGTGAAGGAGGAGCCTTACATTAAGCCCGAGCCTGGCTTGCAGAATGTGACCCTGCCGCCGTCTCAACAGGACGCTCAAAGCAACCAGGCTGCGTACCGCGCCGCGCAGCACATCCGTGGACAGTTTGGCGAAAAGGGTGCCGGCTCGATTAGCGCCATCCAGTCATCCGCTACGAATAGGCCTGCTGGTCAACCCCCTCTCCCGCAACTGCCTGGTCAGCCCGCCCAGCAGCAACAATACCGCCCACCCCAGCAGCCAGGCCAACAGCCTCCCACGAGCAACGGCCAGCCTGGTGTGAACCCCTCGCAGACCGACGGAGCGGATGACGACTACGATATCGAGGGCGTTTTGATGCAGCGCCGTGCTGATGGCACCGAGCGCGAGCTTGGCCGTGTTGATATCGACCGCATGATCCACAAGCAGATTGCTGCCAGAGCAAAGAGCATGGAAGGTGGTGGACTGATGCTGCCCCTCAAGGAAGCTACGAAACACAAGGCTGCTGCAACCTCTCGTTCCAAGGGCAAGGAACACGGTGTTGCGCCCTACGACGGCTATGACGACGACGAGCTTGACGAAGACGCCATCAATTCTGATCTTGACGACCCGGATGAAGACAAGGATGACGACGAAGTTGACGACGAGGGTCTGGGCCACATCATGCTCTGCATGTACGACAAGGTTCAGCGCGTCAAGAACAAGTGGAAGTGTGTTCTGAAGGACGGCGTACTCACTGTCAACGGCAAGGAGTACGTTTTCCACAAGGCCACCGGCGAGTACGAGTGGTAGAGCGCTGCCGCCAACAAAAATGCTCTCCACAGTTGATAGAGGGCACGCAAACCTGGTCTTCAGACATGTTGAGGACCCAAGATTTTATAGAATGGCATTGGGTGATGAAGACTCCAACCCCCCAAAGAGCCTCGCCATTAAGTTTTGGTTTTTGCGACATGCCTTGACACACTATCGCCAACCCGGTCTAACAGAGGAGCAAGGCTTGAGGAGAGAACAAGAAAGACTGGATTGGATCTTTCAGCTAGGTCTTTCGGCTTGGCCACAAAACGACACTCTTGCCGACACACTAGCTGCTCACTCTGCAGACAATGCCTCATTCCAGAGCGCATGTGTGTGGCTCAGACTGACAGCAAGAGCGAGAGGGTGTTGGAAGGTGCACTAAAAGTTACTCCTTGAGGAGAAGGGATAGTGAGCAATGCAGTTTGGCAGTTTGGCAGTCTTGAAGTCCGTCCCGGGAAAGGCGAAAAATGGACAGGCAGAGTTTTCTTTTTCTCTTTTTTACGTATGAAGAAGGCTTTTTCATTGGAATGCGGGCCCCCTTCATTTTCTTTCTCACGACGTCACATCATCAAACAAAAAAGTGTACAACAGTCATGGGTTTTTCCTTTAGAATAGAAACCTGCTGCTACTTTACCCTCCTTGCCCGCTCTCACATAAGTGATGGACACTAGAACTGCTAAAGCGGTTGAAGCATTGAAATGTGACGTTTCACGCGCCGCATTGCATTCATTGCTCGGGAGCATCCGCGGGACGATGATCTGCTTTAGGCCTCAGCCCCTTATCTCGCGGCCATCATCCATCACACTGAGGCCAATGACAGCTTGCATGGGTGATATTTCCTTTGAGTTTGAAACAAGCAGACGGCCTAAAAGGAATTATCATACCCTTCCAGAGATGTTTCCGAGACCATCTCCGCATACAACTCCGCCACACCCTTATCAGCTGGCCATTCCTACAATACCTGCCCAAAACCTCTCTCACCACGAGAGGGAGAGAGAGGGGAGGGGCATGCAGAATATTTCTCTCATATTCCGTCACCGCTTCTTCGTCACGATACCCATGCCCATGTCCCCCATGCCGGTCTCACATCCTCCACCTGAATCGTCCATCCCCTTCTGGCAGAGAGAGACATACGGCCTGGCTGGGCTCTCTCTGTGTCTCAATCTCTCAAGTACCGGACGTTAAGGCAGGTAGGGCGAGTGAGACCCAGTAGGGAAGCAGAGTTCTGACACATCGTAGGGACCGCTGCTGAGGCTTCCACCCTTCGGCCCGAGGTTGGGCCTGCTTATTCTCAGGGCTGTCTCGGCATCGGAGGTGTGCTATTGGCGTTGTCTGGAGCGGGAAGAGGGGGGGTGACGGTTGGGTGTTTTATTGATCTTCTTGGCTTGTTTCCCGTACCCAATACTGCAGGAGATACTGGACCTGGATGCCGTTGGCAGTCCTTGGTCTCGTGTGTACTGTCTTCTGAAGACGGCGACGTCGGAACCGGATATCATTACTGGGAAGTCTCCCTGTGTCCTGTCGATCGTCGATGATGGGACGCAGGATGGGCTTGCCGGGTGCGTTTCCGTCCGTCTTGCTAAACCTAATGAACCCAAAAGTAACGGATGACCATCTCAAGGCTACGAAGCAAGCGGTTGACCAAGAAAGTGATATACACACCACGTAGCGCAGTCTCGCCCAGCTTCTAGACCACGCTGATAGACTGCATATCATGTTTCGGGGACCCTCTTGAGTAGGCTTTTGGGTGACATCCCAACCTTCCTTCCTGTGCTTTGTCCTCGGCGCCGCACGTACATGGGCGACTTCCGCAGGAGAGCGACACAATTAAAGGCGCTAATACGACGTTGGGATCGTTTCCATCATAACGAGCTCTCATAAGTTACTGCTCAAATCGCGTTCAACTGCCGTTTCCAGAAACGAGTTGCCAAGTCAACTCTTGCCGATTCCGCTTGAACGAAGTGAAGATGAACGTCTGCTCTCGCGCAATAGCAGTTTGTACCAGCCAACACATACGCATATTTGTAAATCTTCTCGTATTGCCCAACAAGTCGATCTTGATTCCAGTGCCCTCCAGAGTGGTCTGAGCCAGAGCCGGTCGTCGACATATATCATCTAAGTCTCGAATACCATGTCTGGATCTCGATACCTGTGCTTTGGCGAGCCTTGACTGTCTCTGGTCAGCATTGCAATCAACTGCTGAGGCTTGGAAGGCAGCTTTAGACAAGCTGAATTCGAGCCACACCCATAAGCTCTCATGAACACATCGTCATGGGAAGTTTCAGTTTGTGGCATGCCGTGAACCGCAATGGAAACGATCGGTCCTTTCCTGAAATGGGCTTGCTAACGCGAGGCAGCAGGCCCGTACCCGTACCGGTAGTTTTGTAGCTAGTTTGGCAGCTGTCTTGCCTGCCTTCCGGGCGCCGGTAATAACCACAGTCCACTCCGGTAGAGTCTTCATGTTCAAACTTAATAATGAACAAGTTCACAACCGCTTCAGGTGATTCCAAACTGGCCCTTCACGAGGGACTCGTCTGGCAACTCAGACATGACCATTCGCTAGGGGGCTTTCCCCGCGGCTATCGCGCGTTC